TGTTATATATGAAGCTGATAATCTATGAAAACTCACTTATACCTATATTAGTTATAATTAATCAATATTTGTTTAAAATTTTAAATAACAGTTTTATTTGTAAAACACCATATCTTTGTAGAAAAGTTTGAAGATAACTAAAGGGATACTAAGGAGAGATAGTGAGTACGTACTGGTCTCTCGTTAGGGTTTATACGAAGATGTATTAAATCCTTCTTTTTAGCAGAATGTTTGCTGAATTTGTTGAGCCAGTTCTTCTGCACTTAGTTGGCACTCAATTCCAATCTATCAAAAGAAAAAGAGAGAGAGATGTATATATTGTGTTCTTTAACAAAAAAAAAAAAAATATATATATATATATATATATATATATTATTTTCAATTAATATCATTCTGAGTAGCTCTATATTCCTCGAGGCGCTAAAATCCTAAAGAAAGACGAGTTTATATAAATATTATATATGTGACATAATTCTCACACAGAAAAAAAAAATCACAAATTTAATTATTTTTAAAAGAAAGACCTCAGTTGGACCTACATCCATTGTATAAATTCTTCATTGGAAAAATGTAGAAACTTAAAAAAGAAATGTAAGTACTTATCGAAAATAGAAACTATGTCTTGACACTAAACTACAACAGCTTGATCTATTTGAATAATTTTCACATATATAGAATAATTTATTTAAAATTCTAAGATTTTGGGTGCTCTTCAATGTTCACGTAGACTTTATATAATTTAAATAAACACGTGTTCTTTCACACCATTTTTATTTTAAGAAAGTCAAACGTATAGTAAGAGTTTTAGTAAAAGTATATATAAAAACAAAGAACAGTTCAGTTTTGTATGCTTGTGACGAATCTGACATACACATAACCTACGTTTTGTGTGCATATATATAATGTAGATAAGAATTCTATATCATACATTGAATTTCTTATATATCGAAAGTGTGAATAAATTTTGAATATATGTGATCAATCTCAATATTATTACTTATTACACTACCCTACCATTTCTTCCCCCACCATATATCCTATGTAAGAAAAATAAATGTATGAATTACACTTATGAAGAAAGACAAAAAAAACAAGTCAGTGAAAATTAATTAGGATGATTATTCGTACGTACCTTGATGGTGAAAGAATTAAGCATGGTTTCGTCGACGGTGTTAATATTAACCTGAAGAATCTCAAGAGCCAAATTTTCAAGAGCAGCAATTATCTTCATAACTTGTCCCGGGATCTTATGCGACACCGTTTTGAGCAGCACGTTAGCTCCTGAGAACTTCACTTCCACATCAGCCAAAGCCGATTTTGAGTTAGCAACAAGCTCATTGATCACACTACTTTCATGGTTACTACTAACTGAAGGAGATGAAGAAGTTGAAGCAGGAGAGTATGGAGGTGGGTCTCCTAAGCTGCTGCAACTTGCCAATGAGCTGTAAGAGCGAAGCGGAGGCTGTGGGATGAGTGGTAGTTGCGGTGGAATGGCCCGGTATGGGCTTGTGGGCTGAGGTGTTCGAGGACTTATAGGAGGGAGAAGGAGGTGGTGGTGGATCTGGTGGTGGTTGATACGCGGGCTAAGAGGTGGTTTTCTCGGGCTTAGAACAGGCGGTGAAGGCCGAGGGCTCGGGACAAGTCTCGGGCTTAGGACTTCGGCATAGGTTTTACGTTGTTTCTTGGCTTCTAAAGACTGAAGAACTTGTTGTAACTCGCTTATGTACTCCACAACTCCTCCTATGATCGATGCTTGGTCCCCCTTTTTTTAATAGGTTGGTTTATGAGGAAAGAAAGAAAATATAAGTCAATATGAACATTCTATATCACATTGTGACATGAAAGAAAGAAAAGAAAAAGAGATGATTAGTGGGACCAAATGTCATTATAATTGTTATTATTCCTAAAACATAGATATGAGAGTTTTGGTGTTTCTAAGAAATGATAGGATTGTTAGGTATACCAAAAAGATTAGTTGAACGAATAGTAATCTATGGATGTATTGAATATACCCGTTTGACGTAGAAACAAGGCATAAGAGAACGTAAAACAGTTAAGTGCTCGTTCATTTGCTTTCTCCGGTTACGTTCCACGGTTACATGAGACATTTTGTGTTGCCCATCTTGCTTATTCTCTTCTTCACCTTCTCCTTCTCCATCTCCGTCTTCTTCTTCTTCGTCCTCTTCTTTCCTGGTTTCTAGTCTTTGCTTCTTCCTCTTAGGAGATGAGTTTTCATAATCTTGATCCTTAACTAACTCCTTGGAACTTGTGGTTCCATCTTTGGGTGTAGATGCAGCAGTCGGAGATATCTCTCCGGCGCCTTCAAGACTTTCTAAGATGGCAAATAAATCATCTCCGGCTAGTGAAGTGTCGACGAATTCACACTCTTCAAGAAAATCAGGTATTATCTCCTGCATCGTGACTAGAAATATATCCTTCTCTCTCTCTTCCTCGTTCGTTGTTTTGTCTTATGGTTGGACTTAAAAAAAACACTAAAGAAAAAAAAAGAAAGATTTAGAGAAAGAAAGAGACGCCAAAAGACATATCAAGTTGATAAAGAGAAATAAAGAGAGTGAATGCCAAAAGGAGTAAATATGAGGGACTCGCATTCATCGAGAACTAAACTATCGCTATCAAATTTCAACTTTTATTATTTTATTTTGATATGGTTATTTATTATGCGGTTTGTGCCGTTGGATGAAATTTGGGGAGGATCTAGGTTTTTCGTGTCTCATTTATGTTTTAGATATAAATATGCATCTACATATATATATATATATGGTACGTCTTACTGTATACTTATATTAGAGAGATAAAGGTTGCATATTGCAAAGGGAAAGATACATAAATTCCTTAGGAAAAGATTTTTATGGATTCTTTTGGGGGTAAAATTTTGAATAATCACAAACTCGGTATAATTGTTTTTTGTACACGCAAACATGTAATACACATAAACACGGACATGTACGTTCTTTGTATTTAATTTACGTTTATGTTCGGGTTGCGAATGGTCCGACCAATCCCGGTTTCCAAGTAAATATATATATGCAAGAAAAGAACAAACAAAAACTATTTGAAATTAGTGAATTCACATTTATTTTAGCGCCTCACTCGTGAGACAATCAATTGAATGATATGTTGTACATTCACATTATAGATCATTCATTATTCAAAAAAAACAACATATACAAATTTAGACACCTTTTATGATTGGTAAACCAATTTCAAACATGTTATCGTCAGTCGATGTCCAAATATTGATTTTCACTTAGAGCATAGTGAATTGATTTCAAACAAGCAAATTTGTTCTTTGCTATTTTGGTAGTTTAATATAAGATCATGTGCATTGGTGAGTTTCTCACAAAAGTCTTTTATCTAAAAAAAAAATCATAAATAATATTATTTTATTAATTATAAGAGTCTCTCAAAAAAGTTTAAGAAAGTCTAAATATCTAACTAATATAATTTTTTTTTTTTGGCAAACAAGGTATTATATATATACACACCTCTTTTGTAAGTTCATCTTTAAATTGATACAAGGAGCTAACAAATTTGTTTTCAAAAAAACAAAAGACAAGAGATAGATCTAAGGCAATAAATAGTTGATGTCATACTAGTCATGCCTCATTTTGTCTCATCAAAATCAAATTGCATCTTGAGGACCCTTCATTTGAACTTTCCCTTTCAAAATGTTTTTGAATTTTTTACATATATATAATACCTTGTTTGCCAAAAAAAAAAAAATTGATAATCCACTAAAATGTTTTACAAAATAAACGAAAATTTAAGAAGATGGAGCCAAGACAAACCAGGTAGTCGTTAGGTTTGAAGTTAATGTGTTGGCTGTCAGATATTATTTACCTGACCATGTCTTTTTAGTAACGGGTCTCTTCTCCTTTATGTTTTGTTTCTAGCCCAAATTAAAGAAACATCATCAATTAAGAAAACAAACTATATACGTTTCCTTTTAATGCAATGCTTATAAATATGCTATATGAAACAATGTCTTATAATTATGAAATACTTTTAGTTACATGTTCTCATGTGACACATTCCAAACTGATCTTAAAATTCTAGTTTTCATGAATTCCACTGTGGTTAAATGTAAACCAAACTCGAATTCGGTTTTCGGTTTTAACCAACCAGGAAGAACTTAATACACTATACAAATTAAGAAACAATATATATGTCAGTGATTTTGATTTAGCGGACATAGTAATGTAACTAAAGTTTAATTATTCATGCATGCAGGATATTAATTTGATATGACTCGGATCCAAGGTATTAGTATTCAATTTCATATATATACGGATAGATACCCTTTTATGGAGACTATGACATGTTTTTAGTTTTCGTACAGTTTTGTCTTGCTCTATTTATTTCGCAAATCACAATCTACATTTCTATAACACTGTTGCTCGTCACATTACTATAACAACAAAAAAGAGATTGACATAAATTTATTTTATTTATATGACATAACTAAACGTTGATTATATTCTTCCTGCAGTCTCGATTAAGAAGTCGTGTCATGAGTTGGCGTCGATAATTACTAATCAAAGAAAAACTCGACAGACTAAAAGAATGAATATATGAATACTCTGAAATTTATTGCCTTTTTATAATAATAATTGACTTTTGAAGCAATTAATCAGAAAAAAGTTGAGAATTAGAAAGTTGCAAGTTGCGCAGAAATCAAAATCTGCAAGTTGAGCAGAAAGATCAGTACTTCGGAAACAAATATAATAAAGATGGTGGGCGGCTTTCAATGACCGGACACGCCTTCTCCGTGCCCGAGATTCCAATTCTTCATTCATCCACATGCATGCATGCTTATACTCCATCAGACATGCATGATGCATCCATGTTTTCACATACATATATATATATATAAACATGGATGCATGTATGTATGTATGTGAAGATGGATGCATGTATGATGGAGTATAAGGATATTTATTTACACACTATCTCCTTATTGCAGCGATGATCATGATCTTCTTTTGTTAGCTAAAGTGATGATCATGATCTTGTTTCGGATTTTAGGTTTTGGTTTTGTAAATCGTTTATAGTAAACGGGATATATTTTCAAATTTATTTTGATAAATTATCTAGTTATAGATAGTTGGATATATTAGTTGTGGATTTTGGATGGTCATTTTGGTGAAGTTAGGAACCATTTACATGTACATCTATCCGAGTATGAGACCACGACAGGTTTTTGACATATGAATCACTTTTCAAACGTAGCACCAACTCAAGCTCGGTTCGTAAGGTTGAAATCCTGTGTATAGATCTCAATCTGGTTCCAAAATTACTCGCACTTGATTTTTGGATCACATAACTTATAGTACTTTCGTCTGTTTTGATTCATAAGATGTTTTATCTAAACACACATAGATTAAGGGACATAACATAAATTACACTTTTTCTATTTTGATTTATAAGATCTTTTAGCTAAAAATACAGTAATTTTTTCTGTTTTGATTTATAAGATGTTTTACCTAAAAACATATAGATCAAGAAATATCATAAATTATACTTTCTTTGTAACAATTAGGATGTTTTAGCTAAAAAGATGGAGATTAAGAAATGACATAAATTATATGTATATTCTTTACTACATTAAAATTATATAATATCTAACTAAAAATAATTTAACTAATAATAAAATACATTCTACAATAGAAATGATCACCACAACACATCAAATTTAACTAATTAAGTTTTGCATAAAATTTAAAAACATCAAAGAAAATGAACATAGATATATATATATATATATATATATTAAAAATGTTTTTCTTGGTCAACTATTAAAATATTTTATAAAATGGAAAAATTTAAGCTCTCTTTTCTCTTTTTATTTTTATTTTTATTTTTTCTGTGTACGTACGTAATCTAACATCAAACACAGTAAGTGGTCGTAGTATAATGGAATTTTCATATGGTCGAGCATAGATATTTATGTTAGTGTGTTCACTTAGTCATTTGATAATTAATCGAAGAGATACAAAATAGGAGACTAGTTTGACGTTTTGGTAAAACGCTATACACTTCCGCTTTGCGTAAACAATTTTTTTTGTCTTTTGATGACAAGGAGGATTTAGTTGACTCTAAATATAATCAAAACTACAATTTAATGAAAAAAATTACTGCCGTAAATAATTCATTTTCCAGTGTAGCACTAGACTATCGGAATAACGTCTAGTAGCACTCAAATAACACATTATATTTGAATAATTAATCAGTTTTGGGTTGAAAACTACAAAAACATCATCGGTTAATTTTATAAATCTTTACAAACTCTCTAATTCCTTAATGGAATATACGTCCACATCAAAAATATAAATCATAACACATATATGAGCAATTGAGCATTCGTTAACATCTTTTAAGTCTACCATCTACATATGAACGCATAAGAAGATTACGTAGATCACCATTTACAATTTTGCATGTGTGTAGCTGTTTGTATGGGGACGATTCACGTAGTTGTGAATTTTGACAGTAGGAGTCGCATTGGGGACCAAAACACAGTATGCCCTAAATGGCTAAATGCTACATCTACATCCTACGTCGATTTTAGAGAAGGAAAAAAGCAAAACCCTAAGTTTATAGCTTTGAACTAAAATCAGCTCTAAAACCCTAGGCTCCGATCGAGCATTGAATGATTCTTTGAGATACATCAAGGGCTCGCGTTGATAAGATCCTCAAGAGATAAATAAAAAATAATAATGAAGAAACCCTAAATATAAGCAAAAGATAGTAGTTCATTATCACAAAAAAAAAGAAGAAAGAAAGTAAATGATAGCAGTATATACACACAAACATGCAGCTGAATTACCAACTTGTGTGTGTGTGAAGAAATATCGAGAAAAGAACACAAACTTTGAAAATTGTAAGTTGGATTTCAACGCCAACCATTACCTCTTTTTCCTTTCTTTTTTCCATTTAAAATTCAAAAAAATTCTTTATAGTATTAATATTACACATTTGTCTCCTTCTATGTGCTTTTATTACATTTGCATGACAAAAATTTAATTTCCTTAATTTCTGCCTGCACCCTACCTACGTATTACATCCCTACACGTCTCTCATCTCTGTAATTGGGCAGTCACTAGCTAGGACACGACTATATGGTGTTGCATATAACTTATGTGTGCATTTTTCTCTGTTAACATATCAACTAAAATGTGAACATATACAAAAATTGGCAAAGGTTTTGTACTAGTAGCAGAATCTAAGGATTTTGAATGATAACATTTTTATTTCTATTTGTTTATTTGGGTAAAAAATAAAATCGATTATAGTAGAAACAAAATTGTAGAAGTAGCTGAAGAGGTGAATGAGTTGGGTCCTACTCAAACTTTAATCGCTACGAAGATCTGAAATATCATTTACTCTCACCACGAAATACATGAGCCACGCTTTATTGCTCTCTCTCTCTCATCGCACTGTGCCTTATTGCATGATTACAAGTTTATGAGTTTCATCATCTATGCAAGACAAATATCGTAGGTAATAATTGTGTCTCTGTAATACGAATGAGTTTCCTCAAAAACAACTTAGCTCATAGTAATTGTTTTCTTTTCCGATTTACAGTAATTGATGATGATACTAACAGAACAATCTTTTTACAATAAATTGATGATACTCAAAAAATAGTGAGTTTCACAAAAGTAGTAGGAAGGTTTAGAGAGCTTTTACTCGGGAACTAACATATATAGAGGAAAGTTATAAGGAACAAAAAAAAACAAAAAACTATATACGTGCAGAACATTAAACATTTTGTAGTTTTTAGTTAACCATTTATATATACGAGTCTTGCTTGCCAAAAAAAAGCCACATTTATTAGTTTTGTAAATAATCCTAACATATTGAACATTTGGAACAAACGGACCTAGAACTAAGAATCATATTAGTACATGATACAAATGCCATGCATGTTTTAGATCAAGCAAGAGATTCTCCTCGGAGTCAAACAGTTGATTTTCAAGTAGTGTTGTCTTTATATTAATTGGACCAGTGTTTAAATTTGTAAGACACATTAATGACTTAGAGACAGTCCATTTATAAAACATTTCAAAAATGCTAGGTCCTATTTTATGTGACCACAAATACTACTCTTTCATTCATGAATGGATGATTGTTAAATCAGTATTGATCATTACTCCTAAATAGGGTTATTTCTTTGATAATTTTGCTGAAATAAATAATAATGACGGCTAGATTTGGAGAAGAAATGGCCTCCCGCAAATAAGTGGGGACCCATAATACATTTGATTGCAAATTAGATTCGAAGAGCCCACATGGTGAATGCAATGTCCCCATCTTCTACTAAAACCATTATGAGTGGTTATGGTTATGCACCTTTTTGTGATGTGGTGCATGCATCTTCAAACTGTTTTTTACTCTTCTATTTGAAAATTTTCAGCAAAAACTTAAACTTGAATGCTTCGAGTTGATGTTTTTTTTGTAAATCTCGTGCAAGTATATTAACTAGCCAAATATATATTCGCTATTTGTGAATATTTTATCTTTTTAACCGAGTTGTTATTTAGTTTCAGATTCCAGATTATTTATAATTGAAGTCTTATAATTTTTTTTTTTTGTCAACATGCATTATGGTATATTGAATCCACTTAGTAACGCAGCGATCGACGAAATTAGCACAAAACACTAAATTACATGTTCTATCGAAACGATGTATCATATTGTAGTGACTAGTGAGTATATATGACATGACCATTTTATTCTAAAACTCTTGGATTCAAACTTCGGCCTTGTTTTTTTAAATAACATACATTTTACTCTCTTTTTTTCCACTACAAAAAAATCCATTTCGAGTAGATAGAGATACATACATATATTTCATTAAATATAATTAGTTTGAGCCAAAATTGTAATGTTACCATGAAAAAATGGATCCGTTGCTGAATTTTAAATGTCAAGGAATCGAGAAAATTAACGAGAGTTGACTTGTCCAAGTAACCAAAACAAGTAAATTTTTGTTACGGTTTTCCTCTCCAATGGTGCAACAAAAGAGGTAACGAAATCCTGTCAGATTATAAAAACTTGTGCTGAAATCAGCCAGAGGGTAAAAAAAGAGCAATCAATTTTTAACTTCGAATAATTAAGTGAATCAAAAAGAACAATCTTACAATAATTCAATAACTATAAAGCTTCAAGAATGTCTTCCTCGACTTCAAAATGTGGACCTCTTGTCCTTGTTTCCATTTAAACCCTCTGTACTACTCGGAAGATTTCCTTAAGTTAAAAACATAAAGCATCCAATGGCTCTACAATGGGCCGTTAAAAATTAGCCTTATGGCCCATAAGTGAGCCCACCTCTATAGACATTGCCAAAAATGCGTGACGTTTAATCTTATACAAACGGCGTGTAGTGCGGACCACAATCGTCAACGTGGCAAATCTTAACACGCGTGCACACGTGACACCGCATCGTGTTTATTAGGGTTTGTGAACAGTTGTCCGTTACTTGTTCCACAGAGGAAATTAGAATTGTTCCTTTTTTCTTTTTTTTTTCTCCGATTAGTCTAATTCTCGTCTCGCGTTTATTAGGGTTTGGATAAAGAATGTTAGATCAATTCGTGATTTCTCTGTTTTCTTCTGAATTTGGAAGCAGCAAGTTTTGAAAATTTGAGGTACGGTTTAAGTTTTTGTTCTGTGTAATTGATTTGTTTGTTTTTTGTATTCTAGGAGACTTGTTGATATTCTAGGGTTTTAATTATAGTTTTAAGAAGAGGAATCTTTGGCTATGGAGGTGAATTCGATGGGACAAAATTGTCGGTGTCTTGAGTTAGAAGAAAGGGTTTTAAAAGGTGAAGAAAAGTACATTGAGTTAGAAACAGAGTTGCAGAAACGAAACAAAGAGTTTGAGTCACTTGAATTGAGGGTTAAAGAATTGGAATCGGAGAAGTTAGTAGTTGAAGAAGAGTTGAAGAATCTTAAAGAATCTGAGGAAGGTTCATTGATTGATCAGATTATGGTGAACGCAGCGTTGGAGTTTGAGAAACAGGTGGCTGAGAAAGAACTTGAGGATTGGAGAATAAAGTTTGAGAAACTTGTGGAGACGGTTCGAAAGTTAGATGAAATTGGTGGGTTTAGATATGGAGAATTGGAATTGGATGAGAATGTGAAGTTAGGGTTGGAGTTAGCTAGGATCAAGAAAACTGAATCTTGTAAAGTGTATAATGATGATGCTCTGACTAGGGAAGGTTTAGGTTATCATCAAAGTTCAGGTGAGAAGAATATATGTTTCAGCCTTTTGGTTGACATTAGTGAATAGAATCATAGATCGGTTTATTAGAATAAATCCGCTTGTGTTTCGCTTTTTGGTGTAATGTATTTGATTTTGTTAGTGTTTTTTGTTTCTTCATGTAGGCTCACCTTGTATGACCACACCGGTTAAAGACTATATCTTGGAGAGAGACAGAGACAGAGACAACATGTCTTCTCGGAGACGAGTGAATAAGATGTTGTCGTTTAAAGATGATGGTCACGAATTGACTGGTTTAGTTGATTTATGTGATGGTGAAACAGAGGAGAGAAGTGAGAAGGAATCTGCTGATGTTATGGATACTTTAGAGGAAAGAAGTGTTGGTGAGAATTATGAAGATGAAGATGTGGAACCTTGTGATGTTAACACAAGTACTCCTCTTTCGAGGCGTAAGAGGAAGCGGGTTATTGCCAGCGATGAAGATGATGATGATGAAGACAATATACCGATTTCAATACTCAAGAATTTGAAACCAACTAACCAAGAGATGTCAGATTTGGTTGATACATCAAATAAAGGAGAGAGTGAGTCCAGGAGATTGAGTGGAAAGCGTCGAGTGTCGTCAAGACTGAATAAACAGAGAGTTTTGGAAGAGATATCTGCTACAACAGAGAGACTTGTGGGAATCCTGACAAGTGATAATGCGGCCGATGATGAGACAGAAGAAGAGTCAGAAAGCGAGAGTTTGGATGGGTTTATTGTTGATGATGATAGTCATGAGAGTGTCAGCAAAAATTCTGATGAAACCGGGGAAGAGGAATCTGATGGAGAACCTGGTTATGCTGAAGTCATGTCAAGATTAAGGAGGGACAAGAAACCCGAGAACCGGAAATGGGAATATGAGGCAGATATGCTGGCAGATTTCGGTAAAGATCCCGAGCTTTGTATGAGAGCGGTTTGTGTTCTGTTCAGGTTTCAAACAGAAGATGAAAAGGTGGGAAGATCAAGTCATGTCAGTAATGGTCGCGGTTTCAGCAAGGTTGACGCTGAAAGGTAGTAACTAGCAAACCCTTTTTGATCTGTTATTAAAATGGTTTCTTGATTTGCGTTCTTGAATGATGATTAGGGGCACTAGCATAGCCCTATTTCTGACGGATGGAGATCCCGCTGGTGATTTGAAGAAATCGGTTGAGCATTTGAAAAGTTTCAAGTTTGAAGACGTTAAGAAATGCGAAATATTAGCATGCAAATACTCGAAACAACTCTTCGAGATCTATAACAACAGAGAAGATCCATTCTTTGCTATTCCCCCATCTCCATGACTTGGAGGGTAAACGTCATGAGGAACATGTTCGTTATAGTATAAGTCAATAGCTAGTTTATGGTAATGGTTTTTTTTTTGTTTTTTTTTTGGTAAACTTTAGTCTGGTTTGAGATGAAAACCAGAGATTAATCTAATGAAATTAGAGACTGAATTTACTTTTTGGGTGTAGATGGAAGGATGATTTGGATTATGATGATGACTTAAACACAGTTTTGAATAATATTAGTGAAATGATGATCCCCAAGCTTAGCTTCTGGTTTCTTGAATGTCTTTTATACTGACTCGGCTCAACTTTTGGTTGGACCATGTGCTAAGAAAAAAAAAATTCTTTTTGTTAGTACATATTTCTAGTTTCTTTGTTCGTTTACGTTTTAGATATATTCTAGTGTCGGGAGACGGAAGAGACTTTGGGTAAAAGGTATGTTCTATTGGAAGGGCATGTCTAAATTAAGGATATTCAGAATTTTATCAGTAGTTGTAGTTGTAGTGCCTTGAACTTATCTCAGGTGTATGTACAGTGATAGACAGAATTTATGAAGCCAATGACTAATTCCTTAGCAGAATTTTAGTACAATATCACGTTCCATACTGCAACGCAAATGTCTCCATATGAAGTCGTGTATGGGCAGTCACCACCTCTCCATCTACCTTATCGACTAGGAGAATCTAAAGTGGTTTTCGTTGCAAAATGTTTACAAGATCGAGAGAGTATGATTCTCCTTCTTAAGTTTCATCTTATGAAGGCACAACATAGAATGCAACAAACTGCAAATAGACACCGTTCTCACAGACAATTTGACATTGGCGACTTTGTGTACGTGAAGCTGTAACCATACATGCAACAATAAGTTGTTATGCGATCAAGTGAAGCTAGCTTCGAAATATTATGGTCCATCAAAGGTTTTGGACAAATGTGAACATGTGGCTTATAAGTTGGAGTTACGTCAAGAATCTCAGATCTATCCAGTGTTTCATGTATCTCAGTTGAAAGAACGGGTCAGAATTTGAATATCTATAGTCAATTTCATACATTTATATTTTTGAAATCTATAATTTTATATACTACAATAAAATTTTAAATATTTTATTTATGAATATTTAAAAATAGTTTTATCTGATTTTTTTAAAAATATCATCAATACTTAAGAGATCAAAAATTTAAAAATTATAAATACTCTAATTTGTTTTTTTTTTAAATAAATACATTTAAAAATATTTACAATAGGCGGCGTGTTAAATATAATGTATTATATCATGAAATGAGTTACGATCCTTATAACTATTTGAATATTTCTATTTTATTTCATACAATTCTTTTTTGAAATTCATAATTTTATATAGTACAATAAAAAATAAAAAGAATTCTAATTTAGAAAATTTTAAAATAGTTTAAATTTTATATTTTAAAGAATATTATAAATATTTAATAAATTAAAATAAAATAAAATTATAAATATTTTAATTTGATTTTTTAAAACAGATATATATAACTGAAGACATGTTAATATTATATGATGAGATGTGTTAAATAAGGTTTGACATTTCTAAATATTTGAAAATTTGATTCTGCAAGCAATTTGGAAAATAATGAATGATAGATTGTGTACGCAATTTTTTCAATGGAATTCTAAAATGAAAATATAGACTTCACGCACGAGTTGAATTTGACATTATTATTTACTAAAATATGTTCATAACATATTTGATTATGCGAATATTTGCTAAATTCTGTAATTAGCTCAAACAAAATTCTATTTCAACAACCGAAGAATTACAAATTAAAAAAAAAAAGAACTTCTTAAATTAATTCAAATAATAGTTAACTTCCTATATGACACATTTATGATATTTCAATTTTTGATCTAACTGAATTATGTGCAATTTCATTTTGTGATTGTTAAAAATATATTAACTCATTGTTCAAACAATATTAATTTTTTGAAAATGATATTACTTTCGATTTTCATATCTTAAGAAAACGTATCCATAATGTAGTATTATAGGAAAAAAGAAAATATCTTTATTCTAATAGTATATCTATGTACTTACAAAAAAAAAATATTTTCACTTAATACTATAATATATCAACACTTTATTTTAAAATATATAATATAGAAAATTTTGTACTATATAAAATTCAACCCATACTACTATACGAGTCAGTGGCGGAGCTAGCCATTACGTTTATATGGGTCAATTTTATTCTAATGACTAAAATCTATTTCGAAACAAATTTTTGTGGGGTCAATAAGCACATTTTAAACTATTTTTGTGAGTTTTGCTTCAAATATACAAGTAAATAAACAATTTTTATAAATTCATAGGGGTCAATTGACCCCCTTGTTATGCTTATACCTCCGCCTTTGGTATGGGTCATGATCTAGTAATGGGTTATTTTAAGTTGAACAAAAAAAATTTAGCAAAACAAAATGCGTTTTTTTTTTATGTACATAATTACTTATTTGTATATATAGAGACTAAGGGAACTTCCATTGGAGGATAAAATAGGGGTTGGGAAGTGACCTTTATTTATTTTTATGTTAAGGCTGATAGGAATCATAACCAAGGAGAATGAAGAGTAGAAGAAGCCGGAAGAGAATGAAGAGAAGAAGCCGGGAGAGAATTAAGAGAAAAAGCCGGAAGAAAATGAAGAGAAAAAACCGGAAGAAGGAGTAGATCTATGTTTATTAACATTATGAGATTCTTAAGATTTACAAGGAATAATCATTATATTCTTCATTAAAAAAATCTCTAGAAAAATAGAGATAGTGCAAGACGCGGACGGAAATGAAAATGGGATGTTATTATTACCGTCCTCAAAAGATTCACGGCATGAAGTGAAGAGGAGAAGAAGAAGATGGAAGAGAAGAAGAATAGGAACGAAGAGTATGATACAAGAAGGGTTGAGAAGAATCGACCCAAGGATGGTGGGAAATCATTTCCTACAATCATCTTTAGGGACAAATTAGGGGCTAGAAAATGGCCCTTCATTTTTGCGATGTTGAGGCTGATTGGAATCAAAATCAAGGGGGATGAAGTGGAGAAGAAGCGGGAAGAGAAGAAAGTGGAGAAGAAGCGGGAAGAGAGGAAAGTGGAGAAGAAAGAAGAGGAGAAGAAGAAGATGGAAGAGAATGAAGTGGAGAAGGAAGAGGAGAAGAATGAAGAGGAGAAGAAGAGGAATGAAGATGAAGAGTATGATACTTGGTTTAAGGAGGAAGAGAAGAAGATGGAAGAGGAGAAGAAGAACAAAGATGATGTTGTGTTAGCAGCAATGGCCTTGGGATGGTTGAAGCTTCTCGGCTAATAAAAGGTTGCTCTTTTGCGTTAAGTTTAAGTTTAAAGCCTAGTTAAGAGAATAAATGTATTTTGCTTTGAAGGAAGAGTATCTAGTGACTATAAACCAGAATTGAAGATCTAATAAATGATTGGTTTCATCATGGTTTCATGTGAGCTGCTAAAATTAATGTTTGATTGTTACATTTTTAATGTCATTTTAAAGTTTAATTATGAAAATATATAGATGCACATATTTACTCCCTAAACTATTTTTTTTGTCATCCGAAGTTAATTAGAGCTCAAAAGAACCATTCGTGAGGAATATTGTTTACACATGTGATATGAAACGGTTCTGTACGAACTTTTCATGCTAGATTATCCGCTTTAGTATTAGCCCTACGAGACATTAAAATTAAAAAAAAAAAATGAAAACTTCCTAAACTATCTCGTCCACGTTAAACAAATTGTCTTCCCCCATATTAGGCCATTACTGTTTTAGATTGTGTTCACTACGGAGAAAAAAAAACAATAATTAAATCAGTCGGTTAAATGTTAATGGCACCCACTCCCTAATATAACGGTAACAAAATAAAAACAAAAAACAAACATAAATCCTATATATAAACATAAAAGTTAATCATATGATATAGTTTACATAATACATAAAATTAATATAGTTGATTTTCCTATAGAATTTTTTTTTCAAAAATTAATCATTCTTTTCTCCATAAAAAGTCTATACAAAATAGACAATAATGCAAGAAACCAACGGAAATGAAAATGGAATGGTGTTATTACTTCAAATGATTCACGGCATTACAAAATAGATTCTAAAGGATTGATTGGTTCTCCCGCTAGCACCCGCCTAACGGTTGTTAGCGGTCGGTTGCGGTTGCTAGCGGTTGGTACCAATCATAGAAACCGCTCCACACCGCTTCGAACCGCTCGAAATCGCTGGATTTCAAAAGCTCCTTCCCGCAAGCGTTTGCGGTTGCGGGCGGTTGCGGTTGGTGTAAAAAAGGAAATAAACTAAAAAAGGAAAATAAATAAATTAAAATATATATCATCATGTCTGATTTATATTCACGTTAATTCTAAAAATATAATTATTATTTAACTTTAATTTTCTAATATAAATAATTATTTTTGTTTTCAATATAAAAATTTATATGAATAATTATTTATGGTTTTTAATCATTAATCATTTTTAAAAAATTTATACTTTTCATAACTATAGTTTCTGGTGTTTTATAATTTTTTATAATCATATATTAAATTTATTTTGGTAAATTTTGGTTTAACCGCTATCGTACCCGCTGATCAACCAGTAGTAAATCTCCCGCAAACGCACCCGTTTTCAACCGCTAAACCAGTCGGTCAAAACGCTAAAAAACGCTTGAAACCGCAACCGCCCGCTTCCGCAAACTCCCACAACCGCAACCGCAACCACTGCGTTTAAACCAGTCAAGCCCTAAGATCTTTTATGCCGTACTTGGACGCTTACTAATAGGATTTAACCAAAAATAAATTCTTGAATCTAATTTATTATGCTTAGTTTAAAAAACTACTTAATAAACACATTCCTTAAGGAGAAAATGTCATTTAAATCGTCAGTTTGCCATTTTCGTTGGTTTAAAGCATGAATTCTGTATCTGGTGATTTAAATCCTTAATTTTATGTGGACCTGGTGACTTAAATCTTCAATTTTATGTTGACTTTCAATTTAATCACGAATTCTCGTAGACTAAGCCAATTAGGGCACATTGTTAACTGGCTAAACAGAGCAATCTGGCAAAGAAGAAGATGAAAACCATGTTGGTGTAGAAGAAAAATTATGTGATGGCTTCGAAATACCAATTCTACGATGATATCGTCTTATTAATCCGTTTAGCCAGTTAGCAATGTGTATAATTCATGATTAAAATAAAAAATAACATAAAATTAAGGATTTAAACCACCAGGTCTAAGGTTCATGATTTAAACTAACAAAAATGATAAACTGATGATTTAAATAACATTTTTCTCGTTCCTTAAACAATCACGTAAGCTCAGTTTTTCTCTATATAGGTGTACAAGATATTTTCTGTAGTATGTAATATCAGACTTTTGATTTAACCACAGTAAGAAGGTTGACGCTCTATCCAAAACTTCAGAGTATCCAGTATTGTTGAACCAAAATCCAAAAGTTTCCTTTTTGGGTATTTCTTTCTTGGAAGTATATCACATTACTCTCGCTTAACATAGATAAATTGGTTTATGTCTCTAAAGATCACACATAAAAACAAAAAATATATATCGGTAGAGAAAAAAACCTTAGCTGTTTTTCTTTCCAATACAAAAATATATATTACGTTAATGGAAAAATATCAAAGCACCCTAATTAAAAATCAATCTAAGACCGATACTTTTTCCACGTTTCTTGTTCCCATGTTATAATAGGTCTAGCCCCGGCTCAATATATTTGAGAGCCTTAGAGCAAAAAAAATTTTTTTGGCCTATTATTATATACAAAGAGAAAATTTACTTAATTTTTAAAAATTTTGCGGAGTTTTTATAGTAAAAATTGTTATTTTAAAAATTTTGGGCCTTTTTATACATTTTCTTATAAATAATTAGGCCTCTTAAAATATAATTCTCATATTAATAATATTTTAAAAAAATATTTGGACCTTTTTTATATGTAAATTTTTTTATAAAAAAAAAGCCCCGGGCCGTCGCACTTCCGCCCTACCCATCTGAGCCGGGGCTGAATAGGTCTAGTTCTAAAATATCAATTAGGTATGGACGTTCAATTCGGTTCCATTTTACAGTTTTTTGGATAAGAAGTGTAAGATCAACTGAACAAAAGTCGGTTTGGTTCGTATTTGGATACAATATTTTTTTTTTTGTTAAATATTTGGATACAATTCAGCTTGAATTAGTTTAGATAATAGTGACGAATCGTTTTGGAATGAAAGTATCTTCAGATAGTTTTCGGTTTTGGTTATAAATTATTATCCGAAAATACATGAACTAACCAAACTATCCAAAACTAACCAAAACGAACCAAATACTTTTTTTCCGAATAACCGTAAATTATAACAAACTAAACAAATTTTTGGGTATATAATTATAATTTAAATATTTTGGGAAATCATTCAGTTTTTGATTCGATTCCAGTTTTGTTAGGAGTTATTTGGGTTATAAGTACAATTTGGGACTGAATTTGCTTCTTCTTCTTTTTTTTTCTAAATGGAAGGATGATCTTGACTTACGATTATATAATAGGGGTTTGATGAATTGAATATTTAATATGTTAATAAATTTAAACGTAATTTTGTATTCTTATATCACTGGTTGTAAAAAGTTATCAAAATTTTGGTTTATCGCAAACTCTATAAATTGTAGAAATTAAAAACCTTATGAATCTTTTTTTTATCAAAAATATAAAAAGACAAAATTATTTTGTTTTGTTAAAAAAGACAAAATTATAAACGTATAAGATATTGAACTTTTATGTTCAAATCAATAAACTTATGTAGAATCGAAATTAACAACAACAACAACAAAAACGGGTTAGAATCTTTGTTAATGGAGTGTTTTTAGTGAATGTTTCGTTCGGTTTAGCTCTGAACCGGGTTATTACAACTCACAAATTGAAATTAGGGACCGATATAATGATCTTCCGAAAAAAGGAAGATTGCAAAACCGGGAAAGTAAATCGAAACCAGGCTGGAGATTCTCTTTGCTTTAATCCTTCTCAGACACAGCTTAGAAACAGAACATAATTAACCGTTTCTCTCGTTAAACCTCTAATTTAATAATAAAATCTTTTTAATTAATTAAATGACAACGCACCAACCAACTAGTGATTAGAGTTTGAGACAGAGAGGATTTGTGTGTTTAGGCCCCACATTCTCTGTGCCATGTTTTACTATTTAACCAAATCTTTAGCTTCCTCTGTTCTTCCATCAATCGGTCTTTTTTTTTCTTGATTTTTCTGGTGAGATTTTACAAAACCAAAACAAGATTCCTTCGCCGGAATAATCACCGGAGATAAAGAAAAAGAATGGCGTCCCTGAAATTTCCGTTGGAGATTCTCGCCGTCTTCGTCATCATCTCCGTGATTCTTTTGCCGATTGCTCATGCTCAATCGTCTTCGCCAGCTCCCGCACCCACCAGCGACGGTATTAATCTTAGGATAAATCTTTCACTAATACCATATAATTAAAAAACCCTATCTTGGAGAACAAGAAATTGATATTGATATTGTTTGGATTCGCGTTTTTGGCAGGAACATCGATAGATCAGGGGATAGCGTATGTTCTAATGATGGTGGCTTTGGCGTTGACTTATTTCATTCATTAACGTGATGGATCCGATCATTTTGTTCTTCCTCCACAATGGTTTTGTTTCTTCCTAGTGTTTGTGTTACAATTCTTTTTTTTTTTTGGTTTGTGACGTGAGATTTGTAGAAAATCAAATTAGGTTTTGGTCCTCATGCTTTGTTCTGTTTTTGTTGGTTGGATTATTCGTGTAACTTTTTTTTCTTCTTGTTTAATGGAAATTGTGTAATTATAAAAATTATTATTCAAGGGAAAAAAAAAAACACAGTTATTCTCATTTGGAGGGCATATCTCCGGCTGATGGTTGCTTACACCTTAGCATGATTCATGCCACATTTTATTTTGAAAAACATGTCCTCCTAGGTAAAATCAAAGTCCGAGGCGATTCTGAAATCGCAACTGCCATAGAAAATCTCCTCTTTGTCAAGGCATGTCTTTGAACCATTCTATATAGGTCTCTAGAGTTCATAGGAATCAACACCTCTCTCTCAAACAAGCTAAGGTTTGAACTAAGGGGTTCAAGATTTAACCTCTTTTGGAGGAATCGCCGAAACACCACTAGATTACCTATGTTTTACACCACCACTAGATTACCTATGTCTTGGTTATAATCTCCTCTTTTCTTCCACCTTCCGATATACTAATCAAACTCATCTTAACAAATCAGCCATGTAGTTTAGATGGAGGCAGCTCCGTTAATTGGTTCCATCACCTTTTTCCCTCTAGGTTTATCGACGCACAATGTGTTTAATCCACCTTATCATCACTAGTTTACTCGAGCTGTCTCAAACGCGCTATCCTGTCATATTGGTCTATATATTGTGTGAGTATTATTAAAGGCAATGGCGCCAAAAGAGGAAGATAAAATGTAGTTTTAAACGCTATCCTGTCATATTGGTCAATAACATATTTGTACGTATTGTTAAAATTTGTTTGATTGTGGTGGTCGTTTTTAAGTATAGTGAGATGAACTTAGAAGTTTATAACATCATGAATAAAAAAAAAATTATAATTGCATCCACTGGTTTTAAGCTTCTTTAGTGATTATTTATGCAACAAAAGCCAAGACAGCCAAGACCGTTATAGATATGTTTTAAATAAATAGCAAAGGATATCAAAGAGATGGATCGTGATTAAGTTTATAAGCTGCAGCGACGGATTCAGCAACACCTCCAGGAATAATATTCTTGAAAGGAGAATGATTAAGCTCAGCTTGAACCACTGCTTCTGCGTCTTCACTTGTCACTTCTCTGTCTCTCGTTACTTTCACATCAATCTCCGCGATAACGTCGCGGAGATTTGTCTTCTCACTTTCTTTTCCTATTGTTTTGTTACGAGCAATCGCCTTACTTGCCACGGCGGTTACACCACCGCCAGTACCTTCTATGTCGTCTCCTCCGATAGCCCTTGTTTCTACCTCTTTTATGGCAGCTACGTCGGTGGTTTCCACTGGTTTGTGGCCGACATTCATGGCTGCTGCTTTCAGAGCCTCCGTTAATGTTGTCGACCTCCCGATAAGTGCTTCCGCCGCCGTGGAAATTTCTTCTGTTGGGCCTACAAACTGTTTCAAAAGGTTTCATATCATTCGAAGTTGATATGGTCCCAAATGTTTCAAAAACATATGTGTTGTTGTTGTGTTTACATGAGAAAGTGATACTCATTTTGAATGTAAATCATCCATTTTAAGAGAATAAAAGAAGAAACATTCTTTCAAAAATGATTCGCCACTAGTCTACCACACATTTGGTAGTTGTTTTTTTTTTTGTCAATCGGTAGTTGGTTATTATGTATTAAACGTAAACGTAAACGTAATACGCTAACGCAAACAAAGAACTCGAAACCTATACCTGTCCACCGGGACTAGATTGAGAGACGCTAAAATGCTCTTCTACAGAGATGTTGGTGACACTAGCATCATCTTTTGATGAACCCATAGCTTGAGAGTTGAGAGTTCTTCGATCTTCTTTCTTTGCTTGCATTACCCTTTGTTTTTTTTTCCTTGGTCTAAATAAGAAAACGGAATGTGGCGATAATAACGGTCCCGTACAACTTCACTTGACACGTAGACTTTTAACAGATCACGTGTCCATATTTAGCTGCTTGTGCGACAGTGACCCTTCGATGCATTGGTGAGACCAACGTTGTTACTAGTATTAAAAATTTAGAGCAGCGTGGTGATTTTAAGCAAATATTGGAAGTTCCATATACTTTTTGTTCCTTTTGAAGGTTTGTTGATTCATGTGTTCGACGTTTGTCAAAACTCATAAAAAATGTAGTTGTCGTCATTACCAGAAAACATAGTCAAATCTTACCGAATATTTTTAGAAAAATTATGGTATTGATTTTCTACCACATAATTACGAATTTTTTTACGAAATATTTATGTCGTAAAACATTGAATTTTTGGGGTGTAAGCTGATTCTTTGATGATTATTTATACAAAAAAAACTTATAGGCTTCAAATGCCTATATAAGATGGATCAAAAGCCGATCTCGCTACGAGGAGACTTCGTCCGGACCTTCCTCTAAAAAAAACAAAAAAACAAAAACCACGACCGTTATATACTATATATGTGATATGATTTTAAATAAATGGCAATTGATATCACATATGTGACTGGTACAAGGGTGTATGGTTCCAATACTCTACACCCAAGTATTCATTCACAACTTGGATCGCCATTCGAAATCGCTTCACTACGGGAGACAGACTGTTGCAATGGAACAGGGCTTCAAATGGAGGATGTGTTCTCTGTCAAGAGAGAGTAAAACAAGGGACCACTTATTCATCTCTTGTCTCTACTCCTCTCACGTTTGATCATCTCTAACCCGAGATATGCTTGGACTACGGTTTACAACAAGCTGGGAGTCTCTACTACCTCTCCTCACATCCTCGACAACTCCACAAATTCATTTGTTTGTGTTGCGGTATGTATTTCAACTCTCTATTCATAGTCTTTGGCGAGAACGGAATGGGAGAAGACATGGGGAGCATCCAACACCGGCCTCGCAGTTAACAAATGTGATTGACAAGAGTATGAGAAACAGGCTAAGTACTTTGGTTTTGACTGGATCACCCGTTTTCGAAGGCGGACTGCGATATTGGTTTAGTACCCATTGACGTGGATGATTATTTCATGTTGTAATCTCTTCCTCAATTGTTTTGGATTTTCAGATTAACGTTGCATTTATTGTAAAACAGTCTTTTTTTGGTGAATAAATTTTACATTCATACAAAAAAAAAAATAAAAAATAAATAAATGGCAATTGATATCAAAGAGATAGATTGCATGGATTGCAATTGAGTTTATAAGCTGCAGTGACGGATTCAGCAACACCTCCAGGAATAATATTTTTTTTTTTTGAATAACCGCGGGTCTCCCAAAGGCTTCTTAGGCCCAAGGACTAATCCCACGAGGCTGGCAATTCCCCTATGTAAACCTGCCAGTGGCCGTGCCTCGAACCCTGGTGGCGGAAGTCACAGCTGTGACCCCTTTACCACTAGGCCACAAGGCCCGGTTTGACTCCAGGAATAATATTATTGAAAGGAGAATGATTGAGCTCAGCCTGAACCACTGCTTCTGCATCTTCACTTGTCACTTCTCTATCTCTCGTTACTTTCACATCAATCTCCGCAATAACGTCGCGGAGATTTGTCTTCTCATTTTCTTTACCTATTTTTTGGTTACGAGCAACCGCCTTACTTGCTACAGCAGTTACACCACCATGGCTTTCTATGTCGCCTCCGATAGCCCTAGATTCCACCTCTTTTATGGCAGCCACGTCGGTGGTTTCTACTGGTTTGCGACCGACATTTATCGCCGCGGCTTTGAGAGCTTCTGTCAGTGTCGTCGACCTCCCGACAAGTGCCTCAGCTGCCGTGGAAATTTGTTCTGTTGGGCCTGCATACTGTTTCAAAAGATCGAACGCAAACATCATTCGATGTGAATATGGTTTACATGAGACAATACAGTTTCTTTAGCGTTTACATGAGACAATAATTTAAATCTTAAAAAGAGTTTTTTTGAATATAACACGTCTTCAGTTTTCCATAGAATGTTTTGAAAAGTACAAAACGCAAACACAAAACATTTTATTTTTAATTATTCGTTATGCTTGATGAAAAAAAAAAAAATCATTCGTTATGCTTACAACTTAACATAAAAAGAACATACAGTACGTAAAATATTTGAAGTTAAAATTTATTTGAAATGCACTAAAATATAAACGTAAACAGAAGAAATCCAAATTTATATACCAATCGGTGAAATATTTTGATAAACGCGGTATAGGACGGTTCTTATTATAACAATCGGTGAAACGGTAAGTTAAAGTAGGACAACAACAAAACGGTATAAAATCTTTACTAATCTATGTTTTACCGCTATTTCTTACTATACTTTTTAAGTTTTAACATTAGGTTATCGTAAACGATTATATTTTAGTCGCCGCTAATTTTTCATTTTAACCTATTTACCTGTCCACAAGAAGTAGATTGGGAGACGCTAAAGTGCTCCTCTACAGAGATATTAGTGAAACTAGCACCATCTTTTGTTGAACCCATCCGTTTAGAGTTATTGATCTTCTTTCTCTGCTTGCCTTATTTATTACACTTTTTTTTATAGTTTAAATAAGAAAACGGAAAATAACAATAATTCCGTTACAATTTACAGTTGACACGTCGGCTTTAACAGTCCACGTGGCTGCTTATGCGACGGTGACTCTTCGACGCATTAAAGCCCAAACAGTCTTTAATCTTTTAGACACGTGCATAGTCCGTGCCAGATGTTTTATTGTTTTAAGCGTTTCCGGGTCGGGTTTTACCCGTATCCGGAAATCAAATTCATCGGAGCGCTTAATTTGAGTCCACAATTAAAGTGAAAATTTTCCTGAAGAAGAAGAAGAAGAAGAAGAACTTTTCCTTTTTCTCTTTGCTTTTTTTTTTCCCTCTTTTTTGGTGTGTCAATGAAATGGGAGAAATGGAGATCGAAGAAATCGAAGCTGTTCTTGAGAAAATCTGGGATCTACATGACAAGCTTAGCGATGAGATTCACTTGATTTCGAAGTCTCACTTTCTCAAATCGGTGAAACCTTCTAATAGATCGGAGAAGAGGAAGAATCCTCACGGAAATTCCGGCGAAGATAAGCGACCGGGTTATGTTTTCATTAAAGGATTCGCCTTCGATGATAACGACTCCACGATTCAAGAGGCGAAGAGTCTTAACGCAATTCGAACCGCTCTTGAGAACCTTGAAGACCAGCTTGAGTTTTTCCATGTAAGTCGCTTTTATCTCGATTTGATTTTGTGTGTTTTCGATTCCTTGATATGAAGCGAAATTGAGAGACGAGAGTGTTTGTTGAATTGGGAGATTAGCTTGTTATCTCGTAGGTTTTGTGCTAATTCCTGAAGATGATTAAGCGAAACCTTCTTCTATATGACTATTCAAGTCCGTAACCGATTGTATCTGCTTCTGAAGAAGTAGCTCATGACTAAGCCGATTTGAGGCAATTTTGGGTAAAAATTGATTGAGGTGTGTTTAGTTAGGGTTTAGGTTTACTGATAGGCATTTAGGTTCTGAACTGAATAGTAATTATCAGAATCTTATGAAAATTCTGAGCAACAAGGGCAGACTTAATTCTGAGCAAAATTGTCAATTGTTTCATCTATATGGAGTTTATGTCAATAGTTTTTCCTTCTTTTAGAAATATTATGATCATACAATGTAGTTCTGAGCATTGTTTATTTCACACTCTTTGTTCATGAATTGAAAGCAGGGAGATGAATCTAGATTCAGGTGTTGTATATATGTGCATGAAGAATGCTATAGTCTTATGTAAGATAAGAAGAAGTAGAGATAGATGTGCAGAATCCATTTCGCAACACATTATAGACGCATGTGTATTTATCATTGCCTTGTATAATAGACCAATGAAGAAGGATACACAAGCTATTTTGCATATATAGGAGATTGATTTGTTCTTTTTCTTTGCTACTCATAGAGTGCTGGTCAGTCTCATATGTCTCGTTTACCAACTGAACCTGAAAGACAATATGTAAAACTTCTTTCTCTTTGCTCTGCAGACTATACATACACAGCAACGAACAGAGAGAGATCTTGCAATTGCTCGGCTTGAACAGAGCAGGATATTACTAGCAATGAGATTGGCTGAACACCACGGCAAGAATTATGGAGTCTTAGAGGAAGCTCTTGCATTTGTTGGGAGCATTAAAACCACCTCGCATTACGTTTCACTTGATCACCTCTACGATTCCTCTCCAAACCCAGACGGAGCAAACTCTACACCTGCTGGAATAAAGTCAAACTTTGTGATCAACGCCTTTGCCTCAACTTTCGGGTTTGCAAAAAGAGCACTTGGATTCAACCATGTGAAAGGTGTACTTGGAAACGCTGCTATATTCGCCATTAGCATGGTCGCTATGCTACACCTTCACCAAGTGGCTACTAGTGAACATCATCTACAGAAGAAAGAAGACAGATTCTACAGAAGCCAACAGAGGAAAACATACGGAAGAGATAAGTCTTCAGGTGACAGAAGTTTGGACCACTTGGACGTGATGATGGCTCGTGGTTAAGACCAGGGATCAAACTTGTCTACACGTGTTGATACTCGGATGCATTTTGATAAAAGACATAACGAGAAAAACTAAGAAGAGAAGAGATAATTGTTTGCTCTCTCATACGATCTTCTAGGTTTCGATATTATCAGTAAAGGGATAAGAATTTGGAGGCAAAGTGTTGGAATTTTCTGACCTCATCTGATGCAAATATTGTTCTTTTCTTCTCGTTTTGATTTTCAATCACTGTGGTTATAAAGTTTTGTTTGTTTTGTTTGGTTTTGTTGATTTTCAAGTGTGGTTAGGCTTTTTTGTTCCATTATGAGAGCCCATATATGTTCCACAACTGTCCAGACCTAGTTTATTCCATCGTAGGCCCATTTAATTTGATATCAAATCACTCAAACCCGAGGTTCAAAAACAATAAACGAATCCAAAAGAGGTTTTAACTTGAAAGGGATTTTTCTTTTTTCTTTTTTTCGCCTGTATTTTCTATATATCTACGAGAACTCATAAAAATCTCAGCACATCTTAACCATAAACAAACAAACAAAACAATAAAGAAATATGACCGGTTGTTAGATGATAACATTTGGCTGTTCTGAAAAGTTTTACAAATAACAAAAGAGTTTTTGAAATATATTTTTGTGTAGTGAGAGCATCTAAAATTGAAATGGGTTAACACCAACAAGAAAACAGAGCCAATATACTAAAGATAGGACGAGACTAGTCTGAAATACAAACTAAATCCAAGCAATAGTAGCTAAAAGTCTTCAAGTTCAAAACACTTTAAAAACTCAACTTGGTTCAAATATCCTGCACGTCAAAATTAAATGTTAGTTTGAAACAATACCTAAAAAAAATATGTATGTGAAAAATGGAGAATTACCCCAAGATTGCCGAAAATGTAATACCAGTCATCCACGATTCCATGAGCCTGATTCTACAATTCAAAAATAAATCTCATATTATCATTATCAAATAAATTCTCAGATTTTCATCAATCTATATCAAAAACATCCTACAAAATCTCAACTAAGGTATTTTTGTTTTACCTGGTTATTGACAATTTGCTCTCCATGAATCTGATGGTGCTCCACCTCCTGATCAATAAGATCATCAATTCCCACCACGTTTCCATGAGCATGAACCTCATTCCCCTGTTGCTGCAATTTCAAAAAGTAAATTACAGATTATCAAAATCATCCTGCAAAATCTCAGATAAGGTTTTTTTCTATTACCTGGTTATTGACAATTTGCTCTCCATGAATCTGATCCTGATCAACAACATGATCAACTCCCACCACGTTTCCATGAGCATGAACCTCATTCTCCTCTTGCTGCAATTTCAAAAAGTAAATTACAGATTATCAAAATCATCCAACAAAATCTCAGATAAGGTTTTTTTCTATTACCTGGTTATTGACAATTTGCTCCACAACGTCTCCATGAATCTGATCCTGATCAACAACATGATCAACTCCCACCACGTTTCCATGAGCATGAACCTCATTCTCCTGTTGCTGCAATTTCAAAAAGTAAATTACAGATTATCAAAATCATCCAACAAAATCTCAGATAAGGTTTTTTTCTATTACCTGGTTATTGACAATTTGCTCTCCATGAATCTGATCCTGATCAACAACATCATCAACAACATCATCAACAACATCATCAATTCCCACCACGTTTCCATGAGCATGAACCTCATTCCCCTGTTGCACATGTTGCTGATTTGACAATAGTCAAATGGAAACATCTCAGAATCAGATTATCAACAAAACTAAAATTATCAATTCATTGGATCACTATACCTGATCATCAAGAAGAGTCTGGTCCAAAGTGGTTTTGTAAAACAGATGCACCACCACTAGCTGTTGAAATGCATTCCCTGGCCTTTCATACTCGCTCATTCTCCATCCTGTCTTCAAATTTTGTTGGTTGAGATAATCATATGTGTGTTTTTTACCAAGGAACACCTCTCCTTGAGTGATCTTCTCAGTAACACCATACTTCCTCCACTTTCCAAGGAAGGGATTAGTTCGAATGCTTCTGTTGGGCCTCACTGAACGTGCATTGAGTCTGGTCCTTGTCACAAAATACCAAAAATTTCCCTCAGGAAAGAATTCGCTCCCTGGTTTTTCAGCTGTGATAGGATCAAAGTGATAGAAGTCGAAGGGCTCAATCAACGAATTGGGCAACGGAGCATCTTCAGGAAGAGCCAACTTGGGGATTAAAAAGGTTTGGAAAATCTCTTCATCAGAGGGGTTAAACCGAACACAGTGAAAATTTTGAGCCGCCATGAGAATTGTCCTGTATAATTTTTGAATAAAAAATGATAATGTGAATCTAATGGATATATGTCACAGAATATCTTTGAAATCACATAACAGCTCATCAATTCCATTCGCCAGAAAATAGATAACATCTACCAAAACCAAAAACCTCAAACAATGATTATCAGAAATAATTTGAGTATCATCCTACGATCAAATCAAATGGATATAGATCTTGTATAAGAACGCTTCGTCAGAAACCTCATCTACGAGAATCTAAAAAAATAAACATCTACGAAAACCTAAAACAATGATTTATCAGAAAAAATTTGGTTATCACTCTTCGAATCAAATCAAATGTATCTAGATCTTGTATAAGAAATCAAAGAGCATCTCCGAAATCACATAACAAGTCAAATCGCTTTGTCAGAAAATCATATAAGTTCTCCCAAAACCTCCAACAATGATTATCGGAAAAATTGATGGCATCATCGGAAAGGAATTACCTGATAATCTCCGATCTGGACCTTGAGCTTCTTCGGAATCTGAGCTCCGTTTGGCGCCAAATGAGCTTCTTCAGTGTGCAATTCTCTCTAGTTGTTTCTTTTTTTCCCAAATGTAATTTTATTATACAAGGCAATATTACATGGGCTATAACAAAAGCCCCATTGGTTTTACAGATAAAGTTGAAGCCCAATAAAACTTGATAACATCTAAACAGAAGATATTTTGACATTGGATTCTATCCTAGCCACGTGTTATCAAGTGGATGAAACCACAAACGCGCCGGATGAGTCATCGAAAGAAAACCGACATCAGCTTTCGCCGTTGAGAATCGATTCCGGTGAGAAATCATTGCCAAAAATTGAACGTTGATTCCATTGGTATTCACCAGATCTATTAATCGAAACTCCATTATAGATGAACAGCTAAAAGGAAATCGTAATAAGCATCGGAGGATTCTTTTTTTTCTTCAATCAGAGATGATATCTTTGCAAATTTTTCCTGCAAACCAGATCACAAAGACAGAGGCAGAGACCAATAATTTTAAGCAAACGATCACTTAAAACATCAATTCCAACCCATATCTAAGGAATTTATTGAACAAAAACCATAAAATTAAAACAGAAGTTGAAAAACACGGCCAATGAAAGCCCGTGATTAAAGCCAGAAAACCGGACTGTTAAACTAAAACCCACTTCGGCCATGAACAGCCGAGAGCAAAGCGGCAAGAAACGCCGACGGCAAAGCCGATCATCGTAGCTATGAAAGCCAAAACGATATCGGACAAAAGCCAACCAAACACCGCAAAAGAAACGGTGTACGCTGGAAGAAAAGCCCGCTGAACGGGATCTGATAATTGGAGAAGGCTCCGGACTGCAACCAAAGACGATCTCTCTCTCTGAAAATTTTAAGACAGAGAAGAGAGAGAGTCGACAACACATAAGCGTTTTTAGATAACTCTCGAACTTTTTTTTATGGATCTCCGATGATGGGCTTTCATTTTATGGGTTTTGGCCCACTAGGAGAAACCCTTAAATGCATGCATGGAATTTCATACTGGAAATTATAGGAATAAAATTATCATAAATATACATCCAAAACTTATATAAGAAAGTTATCTAAATGAAGTATTTGAATATAGAAAGTTTATGATCTTCATGATATTAATCCAGAAGACTCATATCAATGTTTATCCCTAACTAACAAACTCATATTTGTTAACATTATTACAATTATTTTTATTTCCAAATTTTATCTGATTTTCTTGAAAAAAAAAAGATAACTAATAACTCTTCTTTCTCTTTTTTGTATTTTATATGAATGGGCAAAGAAGCTCTTGCAAGAACCTGATGTGGCAAGCAGAGAAACAGGTAATGACGTTTTAAAGACTAGAAGACGATGACATCATTGGCCACTTGGTATACGCGCTTCTAATGAGAATTCATCACCAATTTCGAAATAAGCAAGGCAAAGAGTTTGAAGTGCTTCACTAGCAAATTCCTCGATTATGTTCTTTAGGTGACTGGTAGATTCTTCATCAAGGGAAACAACTTCACCATCTTTGTTGATGTACTTATCACAAGAATCTAAAACTATCTCAGAAGCACCCTTACAATGCGCCCAGAAATGTCCTTCAGGCACCTCAATGACAACTCTCATTCTTTTCTTTGTAGAGTTGAAGGGCTCAACTCTCACAACATTTGAGGCTTGTCTTACTTCCTGGAAGTCCCCTCCGAGTGACGACCCAAATTCTAGCAGAGCAGTTTTTGTGGGTGTTCCCAGTATCTCGGTTTTGTTTCCTTTGCCCACAACAATCTCACCGCCAGTGTTAGTAAATATAGATTTCAGTAGGAGTTTAACAGCAGACTCGGGGAAATATTATAGCAGCATCAGAACCATTAACCTCTTTGGCTTGTTCACAGATGCAGGCTTTTACAACTGTCATGTGATCTGTTGTAAGAGTTCTAGTCTTGTCACTACAAATAGTTGTTGCAGATCCCATTGTCTCACAAGCAGCTAGATTGCATTAGTGTTGTTCTACCCGACCACCAAAAGCCTTATATACAGTTGCAGTCACAATTAATTCAATAATGCAAGTAATGGAATGAAAAGATTTGATGATATAATAGTAAGTTGGTGATTGATTACCTTCCCAGTCAGATCATCGCTTGTAACTAATTGAATCGCGTTCTGGTCTGGATGCGTCCAGTTTCAAAGTTCAACAGGGTATTGCGTCCAAATACATTCCATCGTTAGTTGCCTTTAAGGTAATAACAACACCATAATGAGCCGTAGCACGATCAAGAGTAGATAACATTCCAGGGTGAAGTCTCTTCCGTCGAGACTTTTCCACTTAAGCTTTAGCGCTAGATGATCCCTTTACACTTTGGCTGCCATTGTGTTTACTCTGCAGAGCCTTCAACCTATTTTGGCCCCCCAAAGACGATTTCACAGCTGAAATCTGTACAAAAAGATACTAAAATTACTATAGGGAATCTTCTCTCAATATAACAGATATTGACAATCCATTCTTCCTCTCAAATGTAGGCTTTTTAGACATGCAGGGGTAACTGGATATACAGATTACAATCCTAAATTTAAAAAGGGTCATGCTTATGGGAGAACGGGACGGGACAAAATCCAAGGCTCAATAGCGAATGGTGACACTGTTTAGTCAATTTCAGGAGCACCGTAGGAAGACATAAACGTAGATCTAGAGAACACTTGGAAATCTTTAAGCTCTTCATTCTGAGGCCACAGTCCCCCTTGTACATGGCAAGGTATAATCATCATTCTGCCTTGTACCAGATGATACAGGATAAGTGTGGCTAGAGCAGTTTGGTACTGATAAGTTTTTTCCACCCTCTGGTAGAAATTGTTTTTTACCACATTTGGTCATTTATCAGGTCTTGCATTCATACTAAGCAATTAAGCATGTGGTATAAAAATGATTGAAGTAGCCCCAAAACAAAAGAAACCCATTTAAAATGTTTACTTATAGAAAATTCCAGTGTGAAAATCTTCAAACAAACTTTGCTAACTAATGCTAACTCTCACTGGCCACTTATCAATATAAGAAGAGATACCAGTTTAAATTTAGACTTCAGGGAATTTAAACCAAAAAAAAAAAAAACAATAAGCTTGTCAAGAAATTTAAAGCAGTAAAAGAAAGTACAAGTTTCAGGATCTGTGTTCGCTTTTCCAGCACTAAGAACATACACCCCATAGTTAGTTGCCTTTAAGCTAGTAACAACACCATAAACCGGAGAATTTACCAGCACTAAGAAGATGCTCCGAGGAGAAGTTTGTCATGAGACAGAGAAATCTTCCTTGTCTCTTTACTATATAGTTCTACGACATTCTGTCCATGAGCCAACCGATAAACCGGAGCCACATTAACCGCTTCAGCGCGATTGAAACCGCAGTTGAATCCAGCCTGATACGCCCTAAGTTGAAACTGCACTTTGAACCACCTGATAAACCTTGACTCCCTCATCTTTTAGAACTGAAGGAGAAAACTGAAGAGTTGGTCTCTAAACATGATGAGAACTATACAGGAAAAAAGAAAAAAATCGGATAGATGTTTTCTTTCTAACCAGGCCATGAAGTAGATCAGGCTGTTCTTCAAACAAAGCAGGTAGATTATATTCTCATCGCCTTCTTGAGAGCAGTTGCATTGCTTTTTGGAATACCATACCTTACTTTTGGCTCTCCAAAGTGATGATAGCTCAATGAATATAGATGAGGGTACTCAACCATCCGAACATAGGGAATAGATTCACAATTAAGGTTTCTTACCTGGTTCCATGTCAGTGTCCTTGTCCTTATCCTTGTCTGGAGGATGATTCTTCAGAGATATCCTGGAAACAAAGAAAGTTAATCGTTTTATTGGTTCATGTATATGTAAATCAAGAAGCTGTTTTGACAGTAGCAGGTAATGGCATTTTACAGCATGTCCCTTACATTAGAAGGAACTCATGAAGGTCAAGGATCAATTTCAACCAGAGAATATATATCATCATAATAAAACATGTGAGAGAATCTGTAAGCTTACACAACTATCGATTTGTTAGATTAGATCAGCATACTGGCATATATACCACAATCACCTGCCTCTTCCAGATTCTAGGAAAAGAAAATGAAATCGGGAGTCCCTCAAAGTGCTAGGGCTGATCAAATGTACAGCGAGACTAACCTATCCGAGGAAATGATTCTTAGAATTGGCCAAGGCGCCTTGCGGATTCAAAATCACCTACAAACGTAAAAAAAAACTCTGTATGTATTAAACCGGAGAGGCAAGAACAGAAACAAAAACGAATCCAATCATGTTGTACTTTTTGTCACTTATACTTTCACCTAATTCAATAACGCACATCAGCCTAGTTTCATCCACCTCTTTCCAAATCACATCAGAGGCAAACGAAAATCATTCAAAAAGTTATTATCTTTAGAACTTAAATTAATACTCTTTTTAGTATTCTTAAAAAGGTTAGAAAGTCATATTTATTTACCTCACCACCATCGTCCAACGCAAACACGTCATATGTTCCCTCAACATTGGGAAAAAAGTGATGACTAGGAAAGTTCAAGGAAAGTAATATGGTAGAACACCTTCACCCAATCGTTCTCTTCCTTGTTTCTTTCCAGGGTCTTTTAGAATCAGACCTATTGGTAGTTAAGACAAATGATAGTGAAGATTTGGTTTTCCAAAAAATTTGCTTGCCCAAAACTTCCACAATGGCTTAATCTACATAGATAAACGACATCCACGAGCTTCTCGATGATTATCTGCAGCATACAGTACAATGAAATCTTGTGCATATATTACTTTCGGAGCAGAAACAAAGGATTAAGAAAAACAAACAAAAATACTCAAAATATGAACAACAATAAAACAAATAAACATGTCAGAAAATGCAATAAATCAGTGGTAAGATAACAAACTAGTTTGCTTTTGGTGTTCAAGAGCCAAGGCTTAAATATTGATAAAAAGAAGAAAAAAAAGAACAAAGCAGAGGCTGCCAAGCTCTTACATAGAGGCCCTTAAAGAAAAAGAAGAAAAGAAAATAAAAAAACATTACAAAGAGGCAATACTTTCAACATGTTCTGGTGAGATAGAGACGCACATATTGTGTTTGAGTCCATATCGGCGCCAAAACTCTTTATCGTCTGCAATTCCATGGAGGCTAACTCTTCTGAGGTCTTTTGTTTCTACATTGTAGTAGAAAATGAAGAAGGGTTGAACAGTGGGTGGGAGAGTCTTTGGGGCAAAAATGATTTCCCCAGCCTTGTTGGTGCCCGGGGAAGTCATATTGACCAAAGAGAAGGGAAGCTCAAATGTTTGCTTGGACCAATCATGTTTGTTGACATCTTCTAATATCCATAAATCAAAAATTTGGAAAGGAGCATATGGGTTTATTGCAATCGAAGCTAACTTCCCTTTGTAATCTATCAATATTGATTCACGCTCCCGAACCACAACAACCCTAGGCGCTTTGATAAAACTTAGGCTCTCATATCTAACATCAAAACACACAATCACCGGATCCATTCTTAGTCTAGGGGCCCAAGCACCATGATAGATGGAACCATTGATGTAAAGTCCCTTGGTTACAGGGTAATAAGGAGCGGTAGTAACCTGATTGCGTGATTCTTCTCCTCCTCCTCCAAGTGTTATAACCTCGTGCACTAGAAAACCAAGATACATGTCAGGAGACGACACCAGATTCAACACTTTGAATTGTTCACCAACAGGATCATATCCCAAGGAAGCGCGGGGTCCTTTAATGGGTAAGGTAATGACTTGCCTCGTGCTGGGGTTACATACAATGAACTGAGGGCCATTACAACAACTGACAAAGCCGTGGATGGAAGGGCATTTGGAGCGGTAATCCATGGTCACAACAGGTATTGTAATGTCAAGCTTGGCAACTAAAGAAGAAGATTTCTCTTCCTCGTACGAAGAGGAGAAGATGAACAAACGCCTGGCATCATCCTCGGCGAATAAACCGTTACTGAAAGTGACTGTAAAACGCGATCGCGTCGAGGACAAAGCATAGTAGGAATCCACGAATCTCTGGCTTCGGATGATGAAAGACCACATCTTGGACACGCATTGGAACTTCATCAGAGACTTTGCCGGCAATCTAGTCAGTATCTCCACCTCTAGATCGAAAGGGATCGGATCTAGCTTGTCTTTCTGATCGTCCTCGCGCTTGATGGCAGTTCCCAACAAAACCAGGGATTCGACTCGGCAAAGGAGTTTCTTTTGGTGTGTCTTCATCAGAAACTTCGCAGGCAACCTAGTCAGCTTTAAATCGAGATGGATCGGTTCTAAGCTGCTGCAGCACCTGTCCTTCGCAGCTTCTTCCATGCGTTTCATGGCTCGATTTGGAGAAGATAGATTATCGCAAAAGACCTGGATCTAGATTTAACAGTAGATCGACGAAACCCTGAAATTGATTTGGAGAAGATAGATTGGGGATAAGAGAGAGAGAATCAAACGAATCGCAGAGACCTGGATCTATATTTATTTAACCGACAACAAAAAAAGCCAGCTCCTTTTTCTTTCCTCTGCTTTTTATTTAGGTCTTAAAGGAGTTTACGACAGAACACAATGCTCTCTAGATCTAAAAGATCCAAGGCGTTAGTTTGAGGTTTCAAGTTTTTTTTTTGTCGTCTGTTTTTATTAATATCACAAAGAAGGATACATTGTTGAAATACATAAGCCGGCGGAAACACTAGAAATCCCCGGAAACTTAAATCCCAAAAGAGGGAAGCGAAAGCCCAAAAGAGGGAACCAGTTGAACACGTGGAGAATACAATCCACAAAAACGAAACAACAGTCAAAAACTTAAACAAAAGCTCGAAAGAAAACGAACTTGCCAATCTTACTCCCACACAAATGTGAACCAAGCCAGCCACAAAGGACAACACGTGTCCATCTTGCAGTCAACGAAACCTCCTATTGCGTAGCCAAGGTACCTCTCAAATCGAATGAACCTAGACTTCTATTCCGACAAGAAAGACGCGAGACAAAGAGACCAAATCCCACAAATCTTTCGGAAGCGGCATTTGTCGCAAACCACGACCTTTAATCGCCTCGTTAGAAGACATGAACTGACCAGACCTCGATCAGGTCTTGAGTGTAGAGACAAGGAGCGAAACAAACCTCTAACCGGCAAACACTAAACTCAAAAGGAGAAAAGCATACGATCGAACCGGAGAGATCACAATAAAGCTCATCAAAGGACAAAAGCAAGCTCAGCAAGACACAAAAACAAGAGAGCTCTAGCAAGCTCAGACCAAAGCTTCGGGCAGCAAGAGAGGAAGGAGAACGAGGTAGCCATACCAAAATCCCGGATTATCCGTAGAATCAGAGCCTAAACTAACCTACACAACCCCTTAAGCTACCTAAACTAACGATTATACAACCTTAAAGCCACAAGCAAGAGACCAGAGGCAACGATTAAGCCATCAACACAAAATACAAAGACTACACCAAGTGCAACCATGCGAGAAACCAACGAGAGGAGCAGCCCACCCGGCAAAGGCCAACACCACCACAGCCCCAAAAGAACCAAGGGGACAGAAACTTCCAACAACCACAAGCTCTCGTCACTTACCAGATCCACCATCACCCGACAACACTAACCAGAGCCAACACCTTTAAAGCATAGAGAATCCGCCAATCCTTGCAAAATCCACCTTTGCAATCACCAAAGACCCACGCCGCAACAAAACCGCCACTCCAATCGCCAAGGTTTCACCAAAGGAAACACCAACAAGACTAAGAACAAAGCAAAGGAACAACAATAAGAGCCCTCTCGCGGTGCCGGTGAGAAGCACCGACCACCGGAGAGGCGGATCTAAGAATCGGTTTTTTGTGACCCTCGACGGCTGCGATTTTGACGAAAGAGGATTGAGCTAGTTTGAGGTTTCAAGTTTGTTTTGTCTTTTTTATAATAATAATAAAAAAAGGAAATATATATATATATATATATATATATATATATATCTATATATATTATCAATATGACGCTTTTTCGCCACCGTCTCAGGCCCAATCGTAGCTCATCTCGATCCGATCCAGCCAGTTGAGAAAAAAATGGAAAAACAATTAACAAGATTTTCGACCAAGGGTTTCGATTTGATCCAAGGACTCCTCATTGTCTACACAAAGGAACCTTTCCCGTTTCCATCACCGAAGTCCGTGGCTAAGTCAACCGTTACTTCAAAGGAGCTTGGATTTCTCAAAGAGTTAGAATCCGGCATCCCAAGGGTTCTGTTGCAGCATAATTGCGATCAGACTCACACATGTCACGGTGGCTAAACAATATGATCACTCGAAAACAAGTTCATGTCGTCTCCCAAATTCTAGTCTAATTTTAATTACAACTACTATTCATGAGAATGACTTATAGATAAGACACGTGTAGTTCGTGGAATTACGAAAACATATTTTATATACACTTGAGGTCGTTAAATACATAGTAGACAGTAAAACATTGCAAGAGTGAATAATTCCACAAAACGGCATACAAGGCTTTGAAAGTGTTTTTATTGAATTCCTAATTTCTGCCTCGACATAAGCGTTAGAATCAGGCATCCCAAGGGTTCTGTCGCAGCAGAATTAAGATCAGACTCACACACGTCACGGTGGCTAAACAATATAATCACTCGAAAAAAACGTTCATGTCGTCTCCCGAATTCTAGTCTAATTTTAATTACTACTACTATTCATGAGAATGACTTATAGATAAGACACGTGTAGTTCGTGGAATTAAGAAATCATATTTTATATAGACTTGAGGTCGTTAAAAACGCAGTAGACAGTAAAAAATTGCAAGAGTGAATAATTCCACAAAACGGCATACAAGGCTTTGAAAATGTTTTTATTGAATTCCTAATTTCTTTGCTACTCATAGAGTGCTGGTCAGTCTCATATGTCTCGTTTACCATCTGAACCTGAAAGACAATATGTGAAAGTTCTTTCTCTTTGCTCTGCAGACTATACATACACAGCAACGAGCAGAGAGAGATCTTGCAATTGCTCGGCTTGAGCAGAGCAGGATATTACTAGCAATGAGCAATGAGATTGGCTGAACACCACAGCAAGAACTATGGAGTCTTAGAGGAAGCTCTTCAATTTGTTGGAAGCATTAAAACCACCTCACATTACGTTTCACCTGATCACCTCTACGATTCCTCTCCAAACCCAGACGGAGCAAACTCTACTCCTGGTGGAATAAAGTCAAACTTTGTGATCAACGCCTTTGCCTCAACTTTCGGGTTTGCAAAAAGAGCACTTGGATTCAACCATGTGAAAGGTGTACTTGGAAACGCTGCTATATTCGCCATTAGCATGGTCGCTATGCTACATCTTCACCAAGTGGCTACTAGTGAACATCATCTACAGAAGAAAGAAGACAGATTCTACAGAAGCCAACAGAGGAAAACATACGGAAGAGATAAGTCTTCAGGTGACAGAAGTTTGGACCACTTGGACGTGATGATGGCTCGTGGTTAAGACCAGGGATCAAACTTGTCTACACGTGTTGATACTCGGATGCATTTTGATAAAAGACATAACGAGAAAAACTAAGAAGAGAAGAGATAATTGTTTGCTCTCTCATACGATCTTCTAGGTTTCGATATTATCAGTAAAGGGATAAGAATTTGGAGGCAAAGTGTTGGAATTTTCTGAGCTCATCTGATGCAAATATTGTTCTTTTCTTCTCGTTTAGATTTTCAGTCACTGTGGTTAAGTTTTGTTTGTTTTGTTTGGTTTTGTTGATTTCAAGTGTGGTTGGGCTTTTTTTGTAATAACAAGATCTCTTGGCTCTTCTGTAGTGGCAAATTCTCTTATTGAGGCACAGCGAAGAATTTATTGGACCATTATAAGAGCCCATATATGTTCCACAACTGTCCCAGACAGTTTGTTTCATAGTAGGCCCATTATTTTGATTTCAAATCACTCAAACCGAGGTTCAAAAACAATAAACGAATCCAAAAGAGGTTTTATAGTCTAGTAGTTTTGTTATTCAAGTTGAAGAAAAGGTTTAGGCAAAAGAAACTTTCTAAATAGTCAGAAATATCCATGATATCTAGGGGTGTCAAAGCGGAAGAGTTTGTCCGTTTGAAACCGCTGTACGCGGTGGGACAACCCTCAAGATCCGGTTTTTTGACATGATAAATTGTAGCTTTAATCCGTCCATGGCAGCAGAGCCGGACTTGAACACATGGTGATGAAACATTTTATAGGGGCCTCAAATTTATTAGTCCGGCTCTGCATGGCAGAGCAGTTTATGTCCGACCCAGGGTGAGTAGCCCGTATCCCGAATGTATACCCTAGTGATATATAACGTAATCCCAAACAAAAATTGAGTGGTTTATTTTTTGGTTATATCTATGTGCACTGTGATGTGAACAAAGCAAAGGCAAGCGGGAAGATAAGGTATCAAGATGATAAAGGGGAAACCTACAATGAGTCCAAATTGGTAGAATGAAGGAAACATGAATGTGGATATAACAAAAAACTTTTGCTTAAGATCTGTTTTGTCTCTCTTTTTCTTTTTCTTTTGTACACATAGCTTTTTCTCTAACGTTTTTAATGGCTTTTTCTTTTTCAGGGCGTCCTTGAACACATCAATATGAAACAATTGTTTGGGGCTCCAAAAAATTTTGTTGCAAAATTAGGCCCCCAAAATTTTTTTTAATTTCAAAAATAGGTTATATTTTCTTAAAATTTTAAGTTTTTTGGTGTCAAATTTTACGATCTATTTATAAAACCCAACTAAAATTTTTTTTTTTTTGCTTTGACCTCCTCGGCCCTGCTTCTTTTTCTTTCTATCTTTGTGTGCTGTCTTCTATATTTTTATTGTGTTTTTCAATGTGATTAGACATAAATAATATCTTACGGATTGTTTTAGCATTTTGTAGGACCCGGTTCGCATTTTGGGAAATGTCAGCCCGCCGACCCCGGTTTTCCTCCGCAAATAGGTCAACCCAATGTTTTTCTTTGTCTACAATGGCCAAGACCGTAAACAAAATACTTTTTCACATTTTGATTATGATTGGTAATGGTATAATGTTACTTATACCTACAGTAATTATACATCCAAATTGAGGCGTACCAGTTGCGTTTCTTAAACAAATAATGCGTTTCTTTTTAAAAAATAAAAAATAATAGATCTTGGTTTTGTATGCATGTAATTGACCAGTTTTTATTATTTTTATTGTAAATTTTGCATCATAAACTTCTTTCTCATTTTAAAAATTTGTTTTAGTTTCAAATGTTAGAAATATTAATAATCACTATAGAAAATTTTACAATTATCAGAAAATCATGATTTCAAATTTTATACTTACTTGAAAATGTTATGGTTTACAGTTTATGACTACTAAATCATGTATCTATAGTTTTATGGTTGAATTAATACAATTACATGTCCAAAATAGAAATTAATTTTTTTGGTTAAATATATTAGTGGATTTATAATTTTTTTAAAAAATATATATTCAAGAATTTGTTAAACCAATTTTAAAAATTTTATTTTGATATATATGTATAGTTTATTTAAAATTAACATTTTTAACAACATAAATATTTCACCCGTGATGCCATATCCACTTTCACCATTCAACACATCTTTTAAAGCGTTCGAACCGCTTGATCCGCAGTTGTACCGCTAGATCTGCTTGATCCGCTTTTGTTCTGCTTGATACGCTTGATCTGCTTGATCCGCTCCGCCCGATACGCTTTCTCCATTCGGAGCCTTAATATAACAAAATAGTAGAATAGAACATCGAAATCATTATAAAATCAAGAAACTCAACTTAGTTAGTATATTGAAAACACACACACATATTATTGGACTAATTAGAATAAAGAAACATAACTTACGATTTTATAAGAATTCATATGAGAATATTGTCATTTCACAAATATGGTTTCATACGAGAATTTGGAGGCTTTATTTCTCTCCTTGTTTTACGATTGTGAAGAGAAAAAAAAAACTATCTTTGATAACTAGCTAATGAAAACTATTTCTAGTCATGCATGCAAGAAATAGTAATGATAACCAAAGTCATACTTGTAATCCCACAACATAATCATATATTGTGTGTTTTATCTTTTTTTAATCCCTCTGTTTTTAACTGCTTCAAGAAGATAAGCAAATGATCGCTCGTGGTAGTTTATCAAATGTGGATAATCGAAAATAATAAATTAAATATTCATTATCAAATGTTGATTATAAGACTAAAGGAAAAAGGTTGGACCAAATAATAATTATGAAATAGCCAAGGTGCTCCATAATGATGCGACAAAAAGCTGGTGTTAACGGGTAGAAAGTGTTTTGCCACCTTCTAAATAATTATTAACAGATGGGTCAAATAAATTTATTACTATTTCATATCTTTCTTCTTTTATAAGATTTTGGCTAAGAATAACAACAGTACGTAAATCTTTACGCAGACCAACTAGTATTGATTCATCCTAGCGGTTAAATGTCATCAGTCTAGCTTCATTCCATAGTATTATCAACTAAATTATAAAAGCTATTACATACTATAAATTTATTTTATTTCACGGTTTTTATTACTTCTTCTGTTTCATTTGATATGGTGTTTAAAGTTTTGGTATACAAACTAAAAAAAAAACATTTAATTTTTGTAATTTAATATATATTTAGTTATCTATTTAAAAACAATTTAACCAATAAAAGAACAACCAGTATAATTCTAAAAGTAAAAAATATTATATTAATAATAAACTTTACATTAAAAATTCAAAACAACAATTAAATGAAGCAATTTTTTGTTGCTTGCTTAAATAACACTTATTAAAAAAGTAAAGAGTATAATACTTGCCACAACGTTTCACTTACAAATTTAATTCCCTGAGTCTATGATTTTTATTTGGATAATAATCTCGTTGGCCTCTGTCCTCAAATCATTCTCTACTTAGCCCCCGATATAAAAAACTTGCGTAGTAAAAGACAAATAAAATTGGGTTTTTCGATTTATTTACTGATCCAACCTGATTTTGGAACTAGATCCACATATTTTGGGTCAGATTTCGGATCTTTTAATTCCCAAATCAAGAAACACAAACCCTAACTCTTTAACGCCACTCTTTCATCTTCTTCGTTTTCTCTCTTTTAGATACTATGAATCTCCGAATCTCTCTAACCCTAACTCTTTCGATCTCGTTTCGTCTCCTTCTTCTTCTCTCTTCTCTCGATACTCTTTCGTCTTCTTCTTCTTCCCTCTTCACTCGTTTCTATTGATCCAAAGATCGTCCTTCTCTCTTCTTCTCCGTGAAATCCACCGTAAAATCGAAGAATCCGCCGTGAGAACTCCGGCGTGTCTTCTCTTAGTAAGATTTCATTAGTTAGATCCCTCATTTTGATTGATTGTGTTGGGTTTAATTAGGTTTTGATTTGTTCCGATTTCTTCTTCTCTGTGAAAGTTTGAGATGTAGTTCTCTTTGATTTTGTTTGAAACATATGCATTTTTGATGGAATTTCATTTGTTAGATCCCTAATTTCGATTGATTGTGTTGGGTTTAATTACGTTTTGATTTCTTCTGAGAACTTCTCCTCTTCTCTGTGAGGGTTTTACAATTTTGATTTGAATTATAATTCGGATTTGAAATTGCCTCTGTTAATAGCCACTGTGACTAGTTGTATGATTACAATTCGGATTTGATGAATTTGTTCCGTATAGATGGTTTATGAAATGAGTTAAGAACTAAAGATTATGAGATTGTTTATCATTTGAATGTTTGATATTGAATATCATGTGTTGTTGCAGGAACTAAGGAGAATTACTACTACTAGAGGAGAAGGATCTAGTTCTAGAAGAAAAAGATTATCTTCTCCTAGAAGATCCAAAAGACTAAAGCAATATGATCCAAACCAATCAGAAGTGAACAATCTGTCGAACTTAGAAATCCCAAAAGACAAAGGCAATCGGATCCAAAGCATTCAGAGACAGCAGCTGCAGTGGATGATGTCATGGAAGATCAAGAAGTCGAACCGTCTTTGGAGAATGTTTAGGTACAACTGGTACGATTAGGTACAACTATGTTTCTGGGTTTATGTTTTTTGATTATGTGTGAATCTTATTCTGGTCTCTGATGTTGATGTATAAATCTAAGTCTTACTTTATGAAGAAAGAAGAAGGAGAAAGAGCCTTATTCTGGTCTCTGATGTTGATGTATAAATCTAAGTGTTTAGGTACAACTGGTACGATTAGGTACAACTATGTTTCTGGGTTTATGTTTTTTGATTATGTATCAATCTTTGAATCTGATTTTAATTATGTATGAATCTTTTAATCTGAATCTTAATATTTTTATGTATGAATCTATGTATTGAATATAATCTAAGGGATTTGAACCAAAAAAAAAAAAATTCTAAATTAATCAAAAAATCTGACAAATATGTAGGTTTGTAAGGGTTTTGGAAAAAAAAAAAAAAAAAAGAAGTGAATCTAGTTGATATTTTGGCATACCTGGCAGCTGGCGCCGTTATTTTGAAAAATATCTGACAAATGGCATACCTGGCGCCGTTATTTTGAAAACAATAATTAAATAATAGCTCAAATTTGTTCATAGTTGTACAGTTGTACTCGGTTGCACATTTTTGCTCATAGTTGTACAATATAGAGATTTTAGTAAATCTAGTTGTTATCAACTCTAATTTAATTTTTGTTGGTAGAACTGATGATATTGCCTCATAAAAATACCATTACTTTGTATCTGTGCTTTTATATTTATCAAATTACAAGTATTTCAAAAATTTATAAAATTTTAGTTCAAATCTACAAAGTAACCATGAAAGTATAAGGTTGTTAGTGTATGAATGTGGGATTTTGAGTAAGAATTTCAGTATTTTTTAAAAATATGAAATTTTTTGTCAAAAACTTGTTGTGTAGTTTCATTATCATCGTGTATGCATTTTTTAAGTTTTTTTAATTTGGTTTTAAATTTTTATATTATATAAAATTCTGAAAATTGGCTAAGGCATTAGAACTTAGTTGTACCTGTGGTACTTAGTTGTACCCAGACTGACAAAATTTGCACAGATATGAGAAGAAAATCAACTATAGTTGTACCTGCTAAAACTTAATTGTACAACACAGAACATATAAGTTTCACAAACAAAATCAATACAAACAACATCGTTTCTTAAATTAACCTAATAAATAGCACTGAGAAATCTACCTTGGTCCCCCGCATCGTCTCCATCAACGCCCAAACCGCTCGATCCATGCAACCTCTTCTTACATCCTCTTCCTCTATGTTCTCCAACGGAGGAGAATCTTGTTTTTTGCCTTCTTCCTTGTTTTACCTCATAATCCGGAGGATATGCAAACAGTTGCATTATCTTCCTAGGAAGAACCCATTGACTATTATGGGGAACCGGATAAATTGTCCTCGTATACGCCAAAACCCAAAGCTCGATCCAATAATACTTTGAGCACAAATCATGTGCCGGAGATTGGGAGTATGACCGAATTACTTTTCATTATCCCTGAAAAAAACAGAGAGAAAAAACGGCCTATAATTTCATAACTTTCGTAGCAGACCATCAACATAGTTGTACACATTTGTCCCAGTTGCACCAAACTTAGGGTTTCCGTAAATATTCTACTTAGTTGTACCCAGTGGTTTCAGTTGTCCCAAATCTGCAATTCTAAAATATTTCAACAAATAACCCTATTCGAGCTACGAATTCAACTTAATCATACTACACTAAGAAAACAAGTATACTTACCTTACAGTATGGTGGGAATAGAAGAAGAATAAGAGAAGAGATATGTCTTTGGAGAAGAAGAAGAAGAAGAAGAACGCTGGAGCTACAACGTCGGAGCTGCTGAAGAACGTCGGAGCTGCAACATCGGAGCTGCAACATCGAAGAAGAAGAAGAAGAAGAAGAAGAAGAAGAAGAAGAAGAAGAAGAAGAAGAAGAAGAAGAAGAAAAAGTCTCGTAAGAAGAAGAAGAAGAAGTGAGACATTTGGTAGGTTTGTTTTTTTTAATGAGAGAATAGAGAGAAAATTTTTGATTGGTTGAATAAAAAATGTGTTGGTATTAAATTAAATGTAGAATTAAAGGGATAAGGGGTAGAATTGGTTTATGGAAAAATTGGGAAGGAGAGGGGGTAGTGAGAATAAAGTGGGGTTTTCCAAAAATTGATTCTCCCCAAAGGGGTTAGAGAGATTAAAATCCTTTTTATTTGGGAAAAATGCCAATTAAATGCCCAACTTTTTCATTACGTCGATTTTAATCCCGAACTTTGCCTGAAACGATTTAAATGCTGTACTTTCTTAGACTTTCCATTTAAATGCCAAACTTCGTTTGACTTTGCCATTTAAGACCCGACGTTAAATCGATTAACGGAGCAATTAAACGCCGATTAAATGCCGTTAACAGCTCTAAAACGATTCCGTTTTTAGTAAACATAAACAAGACGTTTTCTCAACCTACAAAACCCAAAATCGATTTTATTTGCCCCAAATCAAAAAATTCCCAAATTCATAACCCTAGAAATCGATTTTTCTTTGTTTCTCTCTTTCAATTCAACAATACGTTGTAATGACGCGAGAAAAGAGAGTGGCGAATCGGAAACCCAAACGTAAGAAACCAGAGGCTTCACCCAAAGAGAGTGGTGTTGACCCAATTCGTGACAAAGATGAGATTGTGAGTGGAGATGACTGTGAAGTGGTTGGCGATGAAGATTGTGATGGGATTGGATATGCTGACGAAGAAGAGAACAATGAAGAAGTTTGTGAAGATGAAGAAGAGAATCAAAACCGTGTAGGTGTGGACGAAGAGCTTTGCGAAGAGAGAGACTTTGAAGCACACTTTGGAGTTGCAGCGAGAGATGAGGAAGATGTGAGTGATGCTGAGAGTGGAGATGAAATTTGGGATGATGAGAGGATTCCAGATCCTTTGTCAGACAGTGATAACGATGAAGAAGATCCTGTAGATGATGTTGTTCATACATATTCAGAAGATTCTGAAGAGCTGTTGAAGTTGGGAAAAACGTTTAGTTGCCCAAATGATTTCAAGATCGCGGTGTTAAGGTATTCTCTAAAAAGTCGATATGACATCAAGCTCTATAGGTCTCAGACTCTGAAACTTGGTGCGAAGTGCTCCGACACTGATGTGAATTGTCAATGGAGATGTTATTGCTCTTATGATAAGAAAAAACACAAGATGCAAATTAAAGTATATGAGAATAAGCATATATGTGTTAGATCCGGGTACTCGAAGATGTTGAAACGAAGTACAATAGCTTGGTTGTATTCGGAAAGGCTGAGGAAGAATCCGAAAATTACCAAGCATGAGATGGTTGATGAGATTATGCGAGAGTACAATCTTGTTGTAAGTGCTGAGCAATGTTCAAAGGCGAAGACCAAAATCATGAAAGAAAGGAAAGCCACTCATGAAGACCATTTCTCTCGTATTTGGGATTATCAAGCTGAGGTTTTGCGAACAAATCCAGGGACTAAGTTTGAGATTGAGACCATTCCAGGGCCAACAATAGGAAGCTTACAAAGGTTCTTTCGTCTATTTATTTGTTTTAGATCACAAAGAGATACTTGGAAACAGACTTGTAGGGCTATCATAGGTTTAGATGGAGCGTTTCTTAAGTGGGACGTCAAAGGCCATCTCTTAGCTGCAACTGGGAGAGACGGAGATAATAGGATAGTTCCTATAGCCTGGGCAGTAGTTGAAATAGAGAATGATGATAATTGGGACTGGTTTGTTAGAATGCTATCTGCTACTCTAGATCTACAGGATGGAAGGAATGTGGCAATCATTTCAGATAAACAGAAGGTTAGTATCATCAGATTTCAGACACTTTATTTTGATTATTTGTTTATGAATTATCTAACCATTGTACAATTATTTTTCAGGGTTTAGTCAAAGTTGTTCACAACGTTATACCAAATGCTGAACATCGTCAGTGTGCTAGGCATATTATGGATAATTGGAAAAGAAACAGTCATGACATGGAGCTACAACGTATATTCTGGAAGATTGCAAGAAGCTACACTGAAGGAGAATTTAATGCTCATATGGAAGCATTGCAAAAATACAATCCAGGTGCCTTTGCTTCACTCCTAAGTACGAATCCTAGGACATGGTCTAGAGCTTTTTTTAGGACAGGAAGTTGTTGCAATGACAACTTGAATAATCTGAGTGAGTCATTTAATAGCACAATTAGACAAGCTAGGAGAAAACCTTTGCTAGACCTGTTAGAGGATATTAGGAGGCAGTGTATGGTGCGAAATGAGAAAAGGTGGGTTATAGCTGGGAGATTGAAGACTAGATTTACATAGAGGGCACATGCTGAGATTGAAAAGATGATTGAAGGGTCACAGTTTTGCATAAGATCGATGGCCAGGAACAACAAACATGAAATAACCTTGAATGATGTGTCTTATTCTGTTGATATGAATGACAATACATGTGGTTGTATGAAGTGGCAAATGACGGGGATACCGTGTGTTCATGCTGTATCTGTTATAATCGGAAAGAAACAAAAGGTAGAGGATTATGTTAGTGACTGGTACATGACACAAAGGTGGCAGCAAACATACAAAGATGGTATTGAGCCTGTCCAAGGCAACTTGTTGTGGCCAAGGATGAATAGGTTAGGAGTTTTGCCACCACCATGGAGAAAAGGTAATCCGGGGAGACCAAGCAATTATGCTAGAAAGAAAGGAAGATATGAAGCTGCATCATCCTCAACTACAAGGATATCCCGCTTGCACCGAGTGATGACATGTTCAAACTGCAAACAAGAAGGACACAACAAAAAAGGTTGTATGAACCCGTTTGTTGAGGAGCCACCAAGAAAACCAAGAGGTCGACCAAGAAAAGCTCAAGTAAGTCCTCACAACATTGACATAGTGTGAACATATTAACTATGGTATGAAAAGTAATATTGACATATTCAATTTTAACTAGGAACCAAGAAATGTTTTGTTTGGACAAGGCTTGTCACAAGGATTTTCACAGGGAGTATCACACGGACAAACTTCTCAAGGATCACAAGGTGTTTCTCAGAGAATTTCACAAGGACTACCATCTCAAGCATCTGGAGCAGGTCAAGGTCCGCAAGGACAAGGATTACATGGCTGGAGATCATGGTTTGAGTGTTCAACCTAAGGACCTTTTGATCTTTATGGTCTGTTTTTTTTTTTTTTTTTGGTACTTTGGTCAGATCATAAGTATGAATTGTCTTTTATTGTTATTTTGGCTTGTCTTTTAACTTGAAATATTTCTTTTATAGTATGAATTGTTTCTTCTTTTTTGCTTCTTCTAGGTGATGATGCTCTGCTATGTTTGCTTCTTTTTTTTTTTATTCAAAAATGCTTCAGAGTTTTTGAGACTTAGTAGCCTCTGGCTTCTCTAAGTCGAGAAAAAAAAAGAGTTGTGAATTGTGATATTATTAGCCGAAGGAACTTGCCAAAAGAAGGATAAAAACGAAAATGGTTTAGTGCAACTGTGACTGCTCCTTTGTGATCTCATCTTATCATGAAAATCTGAAAATCCCAATTTCATTCATTCAATACCAAAATCTTACAAATACTTTTGCCACAACAACACAAAATTACACTGAAACAAAAGCTAATATTGAACCACAATTTTTTTTCCTTTTGCAGTTCCAACTATCATGTAAACAACAACAATGGTGATAAAGCAAAGCCACAAAAAAAACAGCAAGAAGCACATTTTCCATTTGCGGATTTCTTTTGTTCTCAAAATTGCTTCTTCCTTCATTTCTTTAATCACAACTGTTAACTCAATTGACTCGGATTTAGCTTTGCTTATCTCATTCTCAATAGCTTCTAGTTTTGACAGAGCATCTTCAACCTCTTCAAACAGGGCATCCTCGACCCACTTAAACAAATGTCCCTATTACATAACCAAATGATTAGCTTAGTCACAAACCGTTAAAAACAACAATATAACACCAACACTTACATCGTTTTTGGTTGTCCAAGAACTAACTTTTCTTTTGCTTATACAGCGGAAGAAAGGTCTTCCTGGATTCTCTTGAGTCTTGGATGTAAAAATTGTAACACCTAAGCCACACTTACACTTCGACGGCACACCACGGACTCCGACAAGGTTCAATGTTATAGAACTTGAACTCATTATAACAAGTTGAGAGAATCACAAGAATGAATCCCAAAAGAGAATGAGTAAATCCCAGAAGAGAATGAGAGAAATCTGAAGCTTTCGATTTCTAGGGTTATGGATTTGGGGATTTTTTGATTTGGGGCAAATGAAATCGATTTTGGGTTTTGTAGGTTGAGAAAAACGTCCTTGTTTATGTTTACTAAAAACGGGATCGTTTTAGAGCTGTTAACGGCATTTAATCGGCGTTTAATTGCTCCGTTAATCGATTTAACGTCGGGTCTTAAATGGCAAAGTCAAACGAAGTTTGGCATTTAAATGGAAAGTCTAAGAAAGTACAGCATTTAAATCATTTCAGGCAAAGTTCGGGATTAAAACCGACGTAATAAAAAAGTTGGGCATTTAATTGGCATTTTTCCCATTTTTATTTTCGATCAAGATTTGATCCAAAAATTGATATGTTCTTAAGATTTGAGTCACATATTTATAAAATTTTGTTATGAAGTGCATAATAAAATGATTCAACAAAGTTATAAACCTATGTGAATTACTAAAATTCATAGAAATTTCAAGTAGAGATCAGATTATCATAAGACATATGGTGGTTTCAAATTTTAAAAAGATAAAATGATTTAACAAAGCTATAAACTTATATGAATTCCTAAAATTCATAGAGATCAGATTATCATAATTCATAAGGCATATAGTGGTTTGAAAATGTGTACTTTTTTACATAAACGTTTAAAGTAAATATCTCAATGAATCATGCCTTATAAGCGTTGGACAGCTATAATTGGATCCCAGACTCCGACCAACAAATTTAAACCATAAAAGGTTATTTTTGGGGAGTTTTCCATTTTACAAAAAACAAAACGCTTCATGCCACGTTTCGCTATAATAACGAACCTAAGTACTGACGTGGATGGTTAAATAGGACACGTGGTTCTGCACAGATGGGCTTTTAAATTACTAAGAATCATGTGATTGTGCACTATAAAATGCAGGGCCCATAACCAAATCACGTGACCTTGTACTCTCGTTGTCTCTCAACATTTTTTTTTTTTTTGCCTTTTTCTTTCTTCTTACGAGAATTAGAAAAATAGTTTAATTAAATATCGAATTTTTAAATATTTATATTCAAAAATAATCATAGTTCTAAATTCTAAATTTAATTTCAAACTCTAAAAATTCTAGATTAGAAATTCTAATGATTAAAATTTGACTTATGCTCTTAAATTTTTTGATTTAACATGATTTATGACGCGAAAGCGCTTATCAATAGAAGAAAAAATTCTCAACTGGTAAACGGGAATACCCCATCTTGTGTCTTGTCACGAACCAATTGAAGATAGTGAACACCTTTTCTTTACATGTTGCTATGCCGCATAGGTTTGGTCAGAACTGAATAGTAAAATTTTGGGTCAAAATTTGTTGAGTACTTGCGGTTTTTCTAAAACACTCCAACATTCGTTAAAAACATAACCACATGACTAAATGGAGAGCAAAGAAACGGAAAGATGGAGAAAATTAGTTATGAAGTGGCTATAAAACCGGTATCGTTCAAACCAAACACCTTAGGGTGTTTGCTATTCAACCATTCTCATCATGGCCTAATTTTACCATTCTTGTTTTCAGTATGTACCCTAACATGAGAGGGTTGTTGAAGTAGTGTGTATGCGATCTTAAACAATCTTCATACGATTCATCATTCTCGTGTTTGTTTGTTTTTTTTTTTTTTGAAACATCGTTATTTTGAATTGAAGCTCTCATCATTCTCACTTTTATTGTTCAGGATTTTATAGACTGAAACGAGAATTATAAACCATATGAAAATGAGATTATTCGAAATCGCAAACAATTTACTTTGACAATTTCTCTACTCTCTAGTGGGTTTTTTCTTTTTTTAATGGGTTTTGGTTTTAACATTTTGGCTATGTATGATTTAGCTTTATTTTTTATCTACCTACTTTTTCTAGCTTTTTGTTTTTCAACTGAAGATCACAAATTTTTTTAACCGAAGCCGTATGAGTAAATTTATATCAGATTCTAATAGCTTGTGTAGTTGTTAGCCGAATTTATAAGAATGTGTAGTTTCTATGGAATATTAATTTTAGTGTGGATTCGGTCCCATTGACAAAAAAATCTAGCGTAATTTCACATACGTATCAAAACTTTCTATTTGAGATTGTAGTCCCCACTATGTTGTCGACAACAACCCCAAATTTAAACCCATGACATCGTGTGACTACTTATTAATCAGAAATCGTGTAATTTGGTTCATGGGTAAGAAAATCCCACGGCTCAAAGAATGCCACGTGACACTATAATATTCACACTAGCTGCTTTGATTAGTCAACGAACGTTCTCTTCCTGTGACTATAATGTGATTATTCTTATTTAGTATTTACGACGTTATACATATTTTACCGACAAAGAAATATATAGCATGACTCTACAAAGATATACAAATCTCAATAAGGTAAGACTAAATTCAGAAGGAAGATCTTGAGCAACAGAAATTTTCAGATATGAAGTTATGATAAAAGGAGAGAATAGATAGATAGGGGACCAAAATACAGCTTCAAAATGAAATAAATATAACGAATTGCGGCTAAAAATTTACCCACTTGTGGAAAAGAAACCTAAGGCCTTATATTATTGTGATTCTTCATTAAAGTTGCAATATCTGCCAAAAGAACCAAACACAGTAGTACATTGTATATGTTCATACTTCATATACCTATATATAGTCATTATAGCCTGTTAGTTCGTTAGAACCTATTAAATCGTTGAAAAATATATATTTTTCGACCGTTTGAAAAATATGGAAAAAAACGACATGCAAAATGCATGTGGAAAGGTGCAAACTTTTTCGTTAGACCAATTAAATTAGTGTGATTTCCCATGCACATGAAGACTAAATTGCGGCTCTACTCAATTTGGACAGAAGCAAAATAACATTTGAGTACATTACATAGATTTTTGTTAGTTTCGCTTCATAAAAATCTCCAGCTTCTGTAGCAGCAAGAGGACCCAAAGTATATGCACTTTCATTTTCATTGCCAACCCAAAATGTATATTAATACCGCAATTACTGTGTAAAATAAATGCCATCATATGCTTTATTCTACATTTCTATGTTAGTTTGGAATGTTTGTGTACAAAGAAAATTGTACAATTTAAGATGATATGATATCTAGTCAAAAGTTTTTTTAAAAAATTGGTAACTAACAAAAACTGTAAAAAAAAACTAGACAAAAGACAATTTCCACATACTAGCTAGATTCATATAGACAAGTGTGCCTGTGTTTCTATTTGTTTATTTGGAATTGACATTAATACATAGGTTCGTATACATGAAATATATAATTGTATATCATGCATGAGCGGTGCTAATTAAAAAGTTAGATGCTCGATGTGTTTATTGTCTATTTCTGGTGGAACTATGTGGGCAAAAACATAAATTTATTACGTTATATATGTGTGCGTAAATACTTTTCAAAAAAAATTACAAGAAAAATAAATAATTAACTTGAATGTTTTTGGACTTTGTATGGAACTTTTGTGTGACAAAAAATGACAAAAAAATGTGAGCCTCCTTTGCAGCGTTATATGAGCCTACCTAAGAGGCCAGCTCAGTTGAGGCATTCACGTTTGTCAATGTCTGTCCTTGATATCAAAGATTTGTTCTTTCAGAGAAAATTGACTCTTAATTTCTAAAGAAAGATACAAATGTGGTGTATAAGTTTTACAGCACATAATTACGTGCCCAAAATATCCAAAATGTTTTTCAGTGAACACCCTAAATTATATATACTCGTTTTTTTTTTCCTATGGGATTTGCTCCCTAATCTCTTCACAACCTTTCTCCAACACCACATCGATCTAATTACCTTCAAATCAATCAGTGTTTATTTTAGTCATCAGATCGAATAACGGATTTGAGCTAGAGATTGTATTCCACAACTCAACAAGTCAACAATATTTAAGTTTGATCTTATAAGTCAAGCTCTACTCTACTCTATAGGAAAAGGTTCAGGTGTTAATACATACATTAGGTGAAGCTATATCAAAATAGATGAAAATATCAATTAATAGTATATATTAATGATCCTTTTTTGTTGACAAGAAGTTCTAAGTGGTCGGAAACTAAGCATGTAATAT